CCAGGGTCACAGGGATATGACTCCCTGGACTGCCCTCGTGACAACCACGCTTCCCCATCACCCCCGGCCTTCCCCTGGTTCTTCTTTAAATCTGGCTCCCCTTCCCCCACTGAAGCTTAGTAATTCCTTTTCTTTCTGGTTTGAATTCACCAATTCCATTTAAACAGCCTATCCATGGACCCTAAAGAAGGTTTACGCCCCAGGTCCGGCCCCATGCTCTCTGCCTAGACCCTACCTGCACTTGTTACATGTTCCCTCCAGCTATACCTTCCTTGTAGCTCCTCCAGAATCTGTTAGTAATAAACGTCTCCATTTCACTTTCTCTTGCAGTCTTGCGGAGTTGTTGCCTAACTTGCAACACTCAGGGGCTCAACTTTACAAAAGGTAATTTGACAAAGTCACACCGATGTTATCCAACAATTCTATCAAGTTTATAAAGAAGAATTACCAGTAATTCCATACGATTTCTTTTTCAATTTTTAAACTTTTATTGGAGTATAGTTGATTTACAATGTTGTTTCAGGTGTACAGCAAAGTGAATCAGTTATACATATATCCACTTTTTTTGTCTTGTTTTTTCAGATTCTTTTCCCATATAGGCCATCAGAGTATGGAGTAGAGTTCCCTGTGCTATACAGCAGGCTATAAAATTTCTTTTTAAGACAAGAAAAGGAGGGAGTACTTGTCAACTCAATTTATAAGGCCAGTATTACTAGGATAAAAAACTAGACAAAGTTAATAGAAAAAAAAGAGAAAGTAAACAAAATGACCAATTAAAGCCCACATGAAGTTTCAAAAATTCATCACAGGGCTTCCCTGGTGGCGCAGTCCGCCTGCCGATGCAGGGGACATGGGTTCGTGCCCGGGTCCAGGAAGATCCCACATGCTGCGGAGCGGCTAGGCCCGTGAGCCATGGCCGCTGAGCCTGCACATCTGGAGCCTGTGCTCCGCAACAGGAGAGGCCACAACAGTGAGAGGCCCGCGTACCGCAAAAAAAAAATAATAATAAAAAATTCATCATAAAATATTACTAACAGAAATGAATCACAGACAGAAAGAATTCATATTAAAGATAATATAAATCAGGGAATTCCTTGGCAGTCCAGTGGTTAGGACTCGTCACTTTTGCTGCCGGGGCCCGGGTTCAATCCCTGGTTGGGGAACTAAGATCCCGCAAGCCACATGGTACAGCCTAAATAAATAAATAAATAAATAATAATAATCAAGATCACTTATCAAAGAAAAATACATTATTCTTGGTTGGGAACAAATTCTATGTGGAGGATACTGGGTGTCAGTTGACATACTAAAAGTAGCACAAATGTTATTTTCTCTGCAAGATCTTCTGGTTCTGAATGTGAACATATCAATAGGAAAGGGCAGCACAGCTTCCAGACACTTGGGAATGGAGATTCTCTCCCTGTCGCACACTATAATTGGAATTCTGCAGTCTATCTCATTCATCCTTATAATTTCTTTCACTTCACTGCATGTTTGTTCAATTCCACACACACTTGATTTTCAAGCACCTGACCATAGCCAAGTCCCACAAGAGAGATTTCATGTCACCATTTTGCCATTCCAGTTTTTTCACTGAACTAAAGCCCTGAAGTAAGTTTTTCTTCATATTTATAATGCACCTACTTTGTACCCGTCATTGCCTTATGGGCATTATCATGTCACAGAAGTCCCAAAACAACCCACTGATTTACATATCCCATGCTATAAAACAGGAGAAATATATGTGACAGAAAAAATTATCACTAAGGAAACAATTCAAAACATTTTTTATTACAGTAGAACACAACGTAACACATTGTGTACCAGCATAATTTGAAACTCAAATTTTAATAGCGTTTAGAAAATTGCTCTTTGAGTAAACTGCTTAGTTATATTATCTAATAAACATTTCCAAACATTAATTTTATTAAACTAAGGTAAAAATATCTCTGACAAGTTATCCAAATAGGATTTTACAAGCATTTTCAAGAACCATATTGAACAATGGAATGTATGTGTGCTGCAGAGAAAGGAATGTAAGAAATTATTCGCATGAAGAAAAGTATGGTTTGCCAAGTCAAGAACTCAGGAATTTCAAGAGTAAGCATTCAGTGTTTGTTTTGTTTTCTTTTCTTTTGGGGTGAAGTAGAGAAGAACAGCTTTATTGCTCTGCCAGGCAAAGGGGCCACAGCAGGCTAATGCCCTCAAAACTGTGTTTCCCACCCTGGAGTGGGTAGTGAGTTTTATAGTAATGGTTCAGAGAGGGCGTGATCAGCTCGTGGGCATTCTTTTGATTGGCTGGTGGTGAGGTAAGTGGGAGTCAACATCCTCAACCTTCTCCTTCCCACCAGTCTGGGGTGTACATGCTTGTGGGTAGCACACGGTTAATTTCTCCCACCTGGTGGGGGTTTCAGTATCTGGTCTCTGGACTCACTGAGCCTCAGGTTCTTTGTGTCTCAGCGCAGAAGGAATTCAGAGCGGGGTAAAGTGACAGGCAAGAAGTAGACTTATTAATATAGGACACCTGTGAGGGATACAAGTGGGTAGGCGAGGGGGCTCTGCCTCAGTGTTTTATCAGAGTCTGACTCCATTTTTTCTTTTCTTGTCTTTTTTTTTGGCTGTACCATGCGGCTTGTGGGATCTTAGTTCTCTGACCACCGACTGAACCCAGGCCCACGGCAGTGAGAGCTCGGAGTTCTAACCAGCGGACTGCCAGAGAATTCCCCTGACTCCATTTTTTTGATGTTTGACAGTTGACACCTCAGGAAAACCTCTTCTTATTCAGCCTATCTGGACAAACTGATAAAACAGCCTAAGGGCTCCTTCCTTTGAGAGAAACTGGACATTGAAACCGAAAGCTTATCCTCCAACAAGCCTCACCCAGTAATTAAATTTTCCTCTAATGTTAACTGCTCTCCCTTCAATTCCCAAGAATGAGTCTAATTTCTCATTAAACATAGATGCAAACATCACCAATTCACATGCAGTGGAGGAAGTGACCAACTTTTCCGACACATTGTTCCTACCACATAATCAGTCCCTAGCAACCTGTCACTCTCCTCTCTTGGCAAGTCCAGTCCCTTAATGTCCTTACTGCTCTGTTCATGGTCATCTGGTAGAGCATTCTGTCCTATAACGCACAGTGGCCTATCCATGGACCCTGAACATAACAAGCATGATGAGTCAAGGCAGTTTTATATTATTCTCTGCTCCTCCCTGTTGCTAATTCACAACTATTGAATTTGGTAATTCAGGGTCCTTGTTTTTCCAGGGAACACGGATGTGAATGAACCACACCTAATGAAGTTGGCCCCCTTATGTTACTGATTCCTTCCCAGAGACAATCATCAAAGGCCTGTAATGAAGGCATAAGATCAGCAGACTTCAAACTTCAGGTTGAAAGGCATAAATAGTAATGTGGCTTTTTCAATAAAATTCAATTAATAGAATATTTACAGTGAAGATAATTGGCCATTCGCACGTTATTCTTCCTGTCACATACATACCATTTCATAATTTTTAACATACTGTGACCTGTAATGATTCTAAGGTACATAACAATCTCACATTAATCCTGGAGAAACACTTATTCCTAGTATAGATTCTCTGATATGTAGGCTGATTTAAGAATGGCGCAAAAAATTTACCTAACCCATTACATTTGTAAGGATTTTCCCTCATATGAGATCTGTGGTGAAACCTCAGGACGCATCGTTTCATCAAATTCTTTCCATGTTCAGTAAATCTCTATAGTTTCTGACCTGTATGGATTTTATCTTTACACTGAAGGTGTAGATACCTGATGAAAACTTTTACAACATTCATTACATTTGAAACGTTGCTCTCCAAACTAAATCCTCTGTTTCAGAAACTCCGTCTTTGGGTACAAGCCTTAGCACACATATTACTTCGTGTGGTTCCTCTCAAAGACACATGCTGAGAAGTCTGGTGAACCGTGCAGCCAGGATAGAGCCTCTGCTCACACATTTTTAGTGTTTCTCTTCAGGGGGCTCTGCACTGTTGCCAAATGCTTGAACTCAAGGTAAAGGTTTTGCCACACTAGTTGCATCAGTAAGGGATAGTTCCAGTACCTTCCCATCTTGTGATTTTTGCGTAAAATCCTTACCACATACATCATTATCTGAGTGGTTTCTCTCCAGGATAAATATTCCAATATCTAGTGACAAGTGAGCACTAACTTGCAACTTTGCCACATTCGGTACATCTGTAATGTTCCGTCCAGTATGGATTATCTGATGATTGGCGGGATGTGAGCCCTGAGTAAAGGTTTTGCCCATTCATGGCATTTGTGAGGTAATCTCCAGAATGAATTCTTTGGTGAATGACTTCCTTGTCTAAGGACTGGTCATACTAAACACACCTACCCGATGAAGGCTAAGATGTGAACAGTGAAGCCTAAGACGTGGACAGCTGCTAAAACCCCTGCTTAAAGTTCGTCATCAGTGTGGCTTACCTGACAGTAAGATAAGCTTCTAAGTACACTGACGGATTTTTCACACTCATCACATTTGTCAGGCAGCTTTCCAATATGAAACTTCGGTGCACCTTAAGGTATGAATTTTGACTGAAGACTTTGAGAAATTCAATACATTTCTAGAGTTTCTGTCCAGTATAGATTATGTGATGGTGAGGCTTTGCCACACTCATGACATGTGCATAGCTTCTCTCCACTATGAATCTCCCATGAATTTAAAGTGTCAATTTTGTTTTGTTTTGTTTTTTAAGGATTTTTAAAATATTTATTTATTTATGGCTGCATTGGGTCTTCACTGCCACACGCAGGCTTTTCTCTAGTTGCAGTGAGCGGGGGCTACTGTTCGTTGTGGTGAGCAGGCTTCTCACTGCGGTGGCTTCTCTTGTTGCGGAGCATGGGCTCTAGGTACACAGGCTTTAGTAGTTGTGGCATGCGGGCTCAGTAGTTGTGGCTCACGGGCTCTAGAGCACAGGCTCAGTAGTCGTGGCGCACGGGCTTAGTTGCTCTGCAGCATGTAGGATCTTCCCAGACCAGGGATCGAACCTGTGTCTCCTGCATCAGCAGGCAGATTCTTAACCACTGTGCCACCAGGGAAGCCCAAAGTGTCAATTTTGAGTGAAGACCTTCCCACATATATCACGTTAATATGATTCCCCCTTTGTATTTATTACCTGATATGTAGTGAGAGTTGAGATCTAAGTAAAGGTTTTTCAACAGTTTTTATCTTTGTAAGGTTTCGCTTTTGTATGAACACTCTGATGCTTTGCAAGGTATGCTTTTCGACTAAAGCAGCTGCCACACTCGTCACATTTGTAAGGCTTCTCTCCAGTATGAATTCTCTGATGAATTACGAGATTTGAATTCCGATTGAAGACCTTGCCACACTCACTACATTTGTAAGGTTTCTCTCCAGTGTGAACTCTCCGGTGAATTGCAAGGTATGAATTATAACTAAAGACTCTGCCACATATATCACATTTACATAATTTCTGTCCTGTATGGATTATCTGATGTCTCCTGAGGTTTGAGCTGTGATTAAAGATTTTGCCACAGTCTTTACATTGGTAAGGTTTCTCCCCAGTATGAATTCTCCGATGAACTGAAAGGTATGAATTTTGACCGAAGACTTTGCCACATACATCACATTTATATGGCTTATCTCCTGAATGGATGATTTGATGTTGTATGAGGTGTGAGCCAAAATAAAAGGTTCTGCCACACTCATTACATTTGTAGTGTTTCTCTCCAGTATGAATTATCTGATGACTGACAAGGGTTGATCTAATACTAAATACCTTACCACACTCATTACATTTGTAAGGTTTCTCTCCAGTATGAATTCTCTGATGACTTGCAAGGTTTCCTTTTTGACTAAAAGCCTTGCCGCACTCATTACATTTGTAAGGTTTCTCTCCAGTATGAATTCTGCGATGTTTTGCAAGGTATGAATTCTGACTAAAGACCTTGCCACATTCATTACATTTGTATGGTTTCTCTCCAGTATGAATTCTCTGATGAACTGCAAGGTATGAACTTTGACTAAACACTTTTTCACATACATCACATTTATATAAGTTCTCTTTTGTATGGATTATCTGATGTCCAGTGAGCTGCAAGGCATGATTAAGGGTTTTGCCACACTCGTTATATTTGTAAGATTTCTCTTCAGTATGAATTGTTCGATGAATTGCAAGGTCTGAATTTCGACTAAAGACTTTGCAACATACATCACAATTAAGTATTTTCTCTTTTGTATGGATCAACTGATGCTGAGTGAGATTTAAGCCCTGATGAAAGGTTTTGCCACACTGATTACATTTGTAAGGGCTTTCCATGCATGCACTCTGGTCTTGTGTCAGTATCGAAGGATGTATAAAATCATTCTCATATGAATTAGAAATGGTGGTTTGGACAGTAGGAGAAGTTCCTTGAAGTGGTGAAAATGAGGCACTAATGCTGATACTCTTGTCAGCTTGATTAAATTCATCAATTTTCTCTTCACTTTTGAACATAAGCAGTTCATCCTGAAAGCTTAATGCCAGCCTGTTTTCAATAGGCTTGATTCCTGCAACACTTCTACCATGTCGATCTCTCTTATCAGCCAGCTTGTTGTTATGGTTTACAGGCATTCCTTTATCATTTCTTTCCTCGTCTCTTGGCTGAGACTCAAAGTCATGTTCATTTTCCTGGATTTCCCTGAGGTAAAAAGGCTTGATTTTTTCATGTCTTCCCAATATCAGTGTTTGGAATACTTCTGCTCTATCAGTGTTTGCATTTAGTTGTAATTTCTTGATCACATGTAAGTGAGAGATATCTACAAGATATAAAGAACCATAAGTACCCTATTCATCCCAATTCATAAGTAAATAGTTCATGTTAAATACATGATATTACACCAAAATTAGTACTTACACAAAACAGAGTTATGAAAATTCCCAACCATGATATTAAAACCTTTACAAACACAAAAGGAATGATTCTTTACTAAAGATAAAGTGATCGAGGTAATTCCACTTAAATTTTGGGTACCCAATTTTCAAACAACCTATGATAAAAACACTCACATTGAGAAAACTTCTGTTAGCTATCAAAGAAAGTGTATTTTTCAACCATGACACCAAAGCATATACCAATTAGCAGTAAACATACTGGTGCCTCGTAACTGAGGAGAAAAGAATATTATACTATACATATATTGTGCATACTTGTTAAATAGAAATGAATGCTAAAAAGACAGACAGTAAATAATTGTAACAGTAAATAATGAAAAACTAACTTATTCAATGTATAATCTCAAGGAGTGGCGGTTTCCAATTGGGAAACAAATATAGCATAGAGAAAATGGTGAATATGGTAAAACAGTATTTTAAAAAACAAAATGTTCTTCTAAAAACGTGCTGTAAATCTATGTACCCAGGAAGAAGCATAAAACATTCTGAAAGACCACCTTCTGTATATCACAATTAAATATCAATAAATGAAATATTCTCCAGTTATATTAACAGCCATTAAATAGAACAACTCCCTACCTGTTCAGTGCCCTAAAATATCCAGTTCATTGGCTCCAAAATATACGTAATGAAGAGAGAGCAATTTCTGAATTTATTTAACTAGGTTCATACAACAAATTGCAAAAGAAAGGCATACAATATATAAGGCAAAAAAAGGGACATCATAATAAACATGCCAGAATATTAATATATCTTTTTTATACAAAAGCCACTTTTGATTCATTAATATAAAAACAATGCACTATTTCTGGGAATTCCCTGGCAGTCCAGTGGTTAGAATTCAGCACTTTCACTGCCATGGGCCCGGTTCCATTCCTGGTTGAGAAAGTAAGGTCCCGCAAGCAGCGTGGTATGGCCAAAAACACAAACAAACAAACAAACAAAAAAACCAAAAAAATCCCCACTATTTCAAGCCGTCTAACATTACTAGTTTCTTTCGAAAGGCTTGAGGAAAGTTATCAGAAGTTTTTAAGGAAAGTGGAATCAGGTTTCTGTGCATGACCCCAACTGACGCAGAAAGCAGTGAGAACCATGATGTGGACCTTGACCAACAGACTGAGACAACATACTCTTAAGCATGACCACCCACCCAACAGCAGCAGAGGAGAGATTACAAAATACGACAACAAACATCAGGAGTTGAGAAAGAAAACTTCAAGGGAGATGCAAGAAGTGAGCTGGATAACTACAAAGGGTATTCAGCCACCCCTCCTGGAAATGGTTTCTGAGTCATCACAGCTACACAGAAAATGATTTAGGTTGTGTCATGAGACAGTTGTTTGATATATAAAGAGGCATTATTTTTACAGTGTGAGTGATGTGGAAGGTGGAGGGATGGGTGAAGGAGTGCTGCAGAAATTGGGAAGTTCAGGAGAATAACTTAACAATAACAATGGAAATAGGAAATAACAATCTTTCCATCCACATCAAGGTACCATGGAAATAGGAAATAACAATCTTTCCATCCACATCAAGGTACCATGTAAGGAAAGGTCAGGACTGAGAAAGGGCCTGAGTGGAGCACAGAGTTTTTTAACTATGGGAGTTATACTATGAGTATGGGAAGAACTGAAAGAGATTTAAACACTGTAGAAATAAACTAACTTTAAATCTATTACACTATTTGCTATGCAAGGTATCAAATTCCAACAGCTGTATTTCCATGCACATATTCAATAAAAACATACACAATATTCAAGGAGATGGTGCAATAATGTTCTTAGCAGAAAGTGGAAGAAAAAACCAGGAGAAGACCAGCAGAAGGAGACGAACCAGTCTATTCTGTACACACACGTGCAAAACAAAGTAATCAGATCAACACTACTGTAAAGTAGGGAGATCCTGATTTCAGAATGAAGATCTCCTGGCTGGGTGAGCAGGGTTTGTATGGGGAAACAAAGATAGCAGAAAGCGTTTGAGAAAGCCTGAGCAATTTCAGGATAGGATCACAATAGTTAAGTAAGCAAAGAAAGCGAAAAGTATTACTAACTAAAATATAGATTACATAACATAATTTGGTATATAAAATGTTTATGTTAACACTCCTTGTTATTAAACATGACAGTGTTCTTTTAGCTGGCCTCTCTAAATACTGAAAATCAGATCATTAAATTTCTTAACACAAACTCTGCAAAGAAAAACAAAACCATGAGGAGTGATGTCAACAGAAGAGTAAACCACAGGCACTCATTACAGCCATGAGGAAGCCAAGTTAAAAACAATAAACAAAAAAGAATTTGGGAAAACTCTACAAACCAGTAAAAAAAACAGTGGGAGCACCCAGGCAATTGCCTATCCTGAAAACACTAAACCAACAAATGTAGGAAAGTTCATGACAATTCCCTGGCCTGTGACTCCCCACCTCCTTCTTACATTGCATTGAGATTGAACTGGAAGAAGCCTCCCAATTACCAGAGGTGTCCTCATGGGGAAATGCTAAAAACATGATAAAAACACTCAGTAAACCAGAAATAGAAAAAAGATGACCTCAACATAGTAAAGGACATGTATTAAAAGTCCACAGGTAACATCATACTCAATGGGGAATGACTTAAAGCTTTTCCTCTAAGATCAAGAAAAAGACAAGGACAGTTACACTCAGTATTTCTAAAAAAAAATCACTGGAATTCCTAGCAAGTACATGTAGGTAGCAGAAAAAGACATAAAAACAATTCCAATAGCAAAAAGAAGCAAAACTATCTCTTTTGACAAATGAAATGATCTAATAAGTAAAAAACTCTGGGGAAATCCCTGGTGGTCCAGTGGTTAGGACTCCATGCTTCCTCTGCTGGGGGCCTGCGTTTGATCCCTGGTGTGGGAACTAATGTCCCACAAGCCGTGCAGCACGGCAAAAAAATAAAAAATAAAAAATAAATAAAAACCCGTGAAGATTCTTAAACAAAAATTTGATAGAAATAATGAACTCAGAAAGATGACAATATATAAAATTGACAAACAAAAATCAATACTGTTTCTATACAGTGACAATAAAAAATCAAGAAGGAAATTCAGAGAACAATTCCATTTACAATACCATCAGAAAAATAAAGTACTTGGCAAAACTTTACAGAAGGGAAGATATATGCACTATAAACTAAAAACACAGCTGAAAAATATTTGAAAAGACACAAATTAATGCAAAGATATCCCAAGTTCATGGATTAGAAATATTGTCAGTAGGTAAACACTACCCTAAGTGATCAACAGATTCAACACAATCCCTAATAAAATCCCAATAGTGTGTCTCGAAGAAACACATAAATCCATCCTAAGATTCAAATGCAATCTCAAAAGACACTCAATAGCAAAACCAAGGTTGAAAAGAATGAAGTTGGAGGTTTCACCATCATTTCAAAATTCTTAGAAACCTAAACTAACCAAAGCAGTACGGTCCTAGCATAAAGACAGAGAGAGACCAGTGGCATACAACAGAGACGTGAGAGATAAACTCTTGTGTATGTGGTCAAGTGATGTTCCGCAGGAGTATCAGAACCACTCAGTGGGGGAAGGGCAGTCTACTAAACAAAACGAATTATGGTTCAGATTGAAGGTATCACTGCACTTCATAAATTCCCTAATTTAGATGTTTCAAAATTAGCTGTTGATGTAGAAAGAATAGCACACAGGTGACCCCAAAATGGTGTCAACAACAGTTTACACAACAGCCTCACAAATATGAGGATGTGAACTTGGGCAATGTTATCCTGAGGAGAAATTCCTATTCACCGTTTACTGAGGGTGAAAGGGGATGGGCATAGTACATGTGAACACCACTATCACAGTGCCCTTGAGACAGCTTTTGTGACACTGCTCAAAACCAGAAAAAAACCTGGAAAGATTTATCAGCCAGGCTCTGGTGATACTTTCTATCTCATATCATAGAATATGCAGACCACTTCACTATAGCTTTAAGTGGTGATTTTCTATATAGCAGGAAAGTATTACAATATATGAGGGATAGTATTCTCATTCAAAATTATCTGTCACCCAGTAAACCCACCCTATAGAGAGTCCACCAGAAGTTGCTGATTAACGAAGGGTGGATTATCACACCAAAGGTTCTGGATAAAATTTCAGAGCCCAGTTCTCTGTATTTCATAAACAAGTTTCAGAGGCAAAATCACACAAACTTAGGAGAGTATGAAATCAGGAAGAGAATACATTCCCAGACTAGGTAGAGCAGTACAGGAGTGAAAAAAATAAGAGATATGTGTGTCAGATATCATAGAACCTTCAGATGGAACAATGTGCTCTAGCCACAGATGCCAAACTAGAGGCTGAAAGATACATATATGCTCCTCAGTAGGACTGGGGATCAAAGAGATGATCTCCCTGTCCACTGTCCTTAGTTTTCCTAAGTAATAATTACAGAAGATAGAACGCACCTCCCTGTTACACACAAGCCTGAAGAATGTGGCCAAAGCAGAACAGAAGAAATGCAGGAGGGATCTAAACAGGGAGACAGGGCTTGAGACAGCTCCATGCAGGTTCTGAGATGCCACATGGAATCAAAGAGCAGCCACTGTCTCCCAACTTCTGATGAGGTCTCCTAAAAACATCAAATGGGGACGGCACCGGGAAAGGTTCAGGGATTGGAGTCTGCAGGCGTCAGCTCTTATCTATGTGGACTGAGAACTGAGCATCCAATGGAATGAAGTCGAGAAGGAGAGATGAGCGGGCAAGAGGCCCCTTTGAAAAAGTCCACCTCATGCTCTGCTAATTCAAGCAACAGGAGCTCACAGAAACCAGATGGCAGAGTGTTGCAGATCATGATAAAGACCTTGCCTTTGTCTCTGGTGGAGCTGCAGCACCACTGGAGGGTGAAAGAATACATTTTACACGTGGAAGGACAAGAGGGATAAGTTACGGAGAAGAAAAATTTCCTCTGAGAGTTCAAATAATAAGTAAATTTTTGTATTCCCATAGAACTCTCTGATGAGGGGAAAGACTCCAAACACTATTAATAATGAGGCTTCCCCTCGGCGCTTCTGAGATCTGACCTGTGTTCACACTTTGATACATCCCCAAAGGTATTCAGATCAGTCTTCACAGCCCAGGGCTCTTTCTCTTGTTACAAAGTGGGTAAAATATTCAGATAAGAAACAGAAATTCCTCCACATAAGAGGAAGGAAACATGATTTGCTGTGGCTTTTCCAGAATCCTGGTCTCTTGCTCAACTGAGAACTGAGGTGACTACAGATGGAAACAGAAAAATATTTCAAAAAACTGACCTGCTCTTTACCTCCTGAATACACAGGGAACAGTATAATGTGCAGAAACGTAGCTCTTTTCCTAAAACTCCTAAATCAAAAGCACAGGGGTAGGAAACAGGAAAATGGGTATATTAAAAGTTTCCCATTGAGCTTTATATACATGTAAGCTCTGGAACAACTCCTGATGTATCACGAACTGGGCAGGCCATCAGAGGAAAAGGTAGATTTAAACTCCTGAGGCTGCATCCTGAAGCTTTCCATGTCTGAATCAACAAGGATTTCAGATCAGTCAAGCAAAACAGGGGCTCCCAGGAGGCACACAATGGAAAATGCAAAGATACATAAGGGCAGATCCCAATTTCTGGAGGGAAGTTATCCTCACCCAGGGAGACCAGGTTCCTGTAGGTCTCCAACATCACGTCCCTGTACAAGGCCCTCTGAGCAGGGTCCAGGCATTCCCACTCCTCCTGAGAGAATTCTATGGCCACATCCTTGAAGGTCAACTGTGCCTGAAATGAAAACACATTTCACCAAGGGGCCATGAGGAGAATTCTTATTTTCACACAAAATGAGAAGAGGTGAAAAGATCAAGTTGAAGTATGTATTCTGACAGATCCATATAAAGGTATCTGGGGAAATTATGGGTCTCTAATTTTAATTTCTTATGCTTTTTCATAGAGATTATGATAACCTGTAATCAATGTGTATTTTTCATTTTTGTGGACAATACATGAAATACATATAAATAAAATTCAACAATGAGTTCTCTATCCAGAAGTGTTAGATTATGCCTTACACACTGAGTGCTATTCAAAATCTAGATGAACTACACTATGAGTGGTGGCTTTAGAGATGACTAAGTCCACAGTGCTTTAAAAAAGAAAATCAAACTCTTAAATTACAATGACGATAATAACAGCAATGACTAAAGGTGTTTGAATACTTCACAGATGCTAAGCATTACTCTAAATGCTTTATAGATATGAACTTTTTTATCAACATTGTAGCTCAGTAGAGAAAGATCTGTTCCCATCCTGCAGAGGAGAAAACTGTCAGAGACATTTGGAGAAACTCAACTTAGTTCAAGCTAAGAAATGATACAGCAAGCACCTGAATTAAGGTGGATGCGCTCTTGAACTGAAGATAAAGAAGCAAAAACTGAAGTAACAGAAGAGCTTTCGAAGCACACGGCCAGAGGATTCTCCCAGAAAACTTGAAAGAAGTTGAACAACATGAAAGGCAGTAAAAGGTCATTATAGATGTAGGCACGTGTGCGCGACAGACACACATACACACACACACACAACATGTTAGTAATCTTACTAGTATCTGAACCATTAACAGGATAGTGTAGGAAAAATTCAAGGCCATGTAATATATTTATGATATAATTTCAACTGCAATAAAATACAGTACATAGTTATAAAATTCTGATGTCTTTTATCAAAACCATGGACTTGCACATCCATGAACTCATGGACACACAGGTAAATGCACAAATAACTGAAACGAGAGAAGTTGTCTCTGGATATATTATTGCATGATTTTTTTATCATCATTTTTATTTATGTGAATTTCAGCATCTTTGGAACAATGAAAATATATCAACTGTATTAAATGGTACTAACATGAAAAAAATAGGATCCTTTAACTGCAATCTCTATTGAATACCCATATATAAATACAATTTAAACCACAATATTGACATAGTAGGTATTAACAAATGCAAAGCAGAGTTTATTTCTGTATTCCACACATAAAACACTGACTCAAAATCAGAAAAGTTATTACTATTATACATTAATTTAAGAGACTAAGAAAAAAATTATCACAATAGTGAAGTTAAAAACTACTCAGAGAGGGCTTCCCTGGTGGCGCAGTGGTTGGGAGTCGGCCTGCCGATGCGAGGGACACGGGTTCGTGCCCCGGCCCGGGAGGATCCCGCATGCTGCGGAGCAGCTGGGCTCGTGGGCTATGGCCGCTGGGCCTGCACGTCCGGAGCCTGTGCTCCGCGATGGGAGAGGCCACAACAGTGAGAGGCCCGCATACTGGGGAAAAAAAAAAGCTACTCGGAGAATTAAATATCATGACTAAAAAGAATACGGAAGAAAGTATATTGTGGGCTTCCCTGGTGGCGCAGTGGTTGAGAATCCGCCTGCCAATGCAGGGGACACGGGTTCATGCCCCAGTCCGGGAAGATCCCACATGCCGCAGAGCGGCTGGGCCCGTGAGCCATGGCCGCTGAGCCTGTGCGTCCGGAGCCTGTGCTCCACAGTGGGAGAGGCCATAACAGTGAGAGGCCCACATACCGCAAAAAAAAAAAAAAAAAAAAGTATATTGTAATTAAGGAAGAATATTTCACCAAACAGCACCATTAGAAGGAAACTTGATGCATTCCCTCTGAAGTTACAGTGGAGTGAAGGGGGCTGGCCAGGGCACCTGCCTTTCACCAATGTACAGTGTGCCTGAGCAAGAGCCATTAGAGGCGGTAACAGGAGGAAAACAGAGGGCAAGAGACACAAAGAGAGTGTGCCAGAGAGTTGGAACTGTGAACATTCACAAATCTAAGGACATAGAAATCTAAGAACAGAGAAAGGATGTGAAAAGATAGTCCATCCTAAAGAGAACAGGGGTGATTATATTACATCAGAAAAAATAAAGACAAAAACTGACACAAGAGACAAAGGATATTATATAATGATAAAACAGTCCATTCACCAGGAAAATATAACAATTATAAATATATATACATCTAACATTAGAGCTTGCCCAAATATGAAGGAAACAACAGAAAGAGACAACAGCAAAATGTCAGTATGAGACTTCAATACTCTAGTTTTATCTACACATGGAAACAACTTAAAAGGAAACAGAGAACTTGAACTACACTAAATAACAATTGTACCTAAAAGACATGTACAGAACACTCCACCCAACACCAAAAAACATCCTTCTCAAGCAAACATGAAACATTCTCCATAACAGACCACAAAACACAGCTTAGGCCACAAAACAAATCTTAACAAATTTAAGGAGACTGAGATCTAAAAAGTATCTTCTCTAACCACAATGAAATGAAACTTGAAATAACAGAGGGAAAACAGGAAAACCCCCCAAATGTACAAATTAAACAGCTGATTCTTAAAGAAGCAATGGGCCGGGCTTCCCTTGTGGCTCAGTGGTTAAGAATCCGCCTGCCAATACAGGGGACACAGGTTCGAGCCCTGGTCCACGAAGATCCCACATGCTGTGGAGCAAATAAGCCTGTGCACCACAACTACAGAGCCCCAGCACAACTACTGAAGCCCGCGTGCCTAGAGCCCGTGCTCCACAACAAGAGAAATCACCACAATGAGAAGCCCGCGCACCGCAACAAAGAGTAGCCCCTGCTCACCACAACTAGAGAAAGCCCACACGCAGCAATGAAGACCCAACACAGCCAAAAGTAAAATAAATAAATTTTTTAAAAAAAGAAGCAATGGGTTAAAGAAGAAATCACAAGGAAATTGTAAAAATATCTGAATGAAAATAAAAACACAACATACCAAAATTTATAACAGGCAGTCAAAACCATAGTAAAAGGGAAGTCTACAATGCTAAATGCTTACAACAAAAAAGGGGAAAGATGCAAACCCTGTACTGCTGTTCAAGAATGTATGGAGAGCCATTAGACAAGAAAAAGAAATCAAAGTTATACAAATTGAAAAAGAAGTAAAATTACCTTTTTCTCTAGGTGACAAGGTTTTACATGTGCAAACCAAAAAGGCTCCATGAGAAAACTACCACTTCAAAACACAACTTCAAGGACTTCCTGGTTGGTCCAGTGGTAAAGAATCCACCTTCCAAGGCAAGGGACTTGGGTTCAATCCCTGGTCAGGGAACTAAGATCCCATATACCACAGAGCAACTAAGCCCACGCACCTCAACGAGAGAGCCTGCGTGCCGCAAACTACAGAGCCCACGCACTCTGGAACCCGTGTGCCACAACTAGAGAGAGAGAAAAAAAAACCCTGCACGCCACAACTAGAGAGAGAAGCCCATGCACCTCAACGAAAGACACTGCACGCCACAACAAAAGATGCCGCACGCCTCAATGAAGATCCCGAGTGCCACAACACCTGATGCAGCCAAAAAAAAGAAAAAACAACTTTGGAAAAATTGCAGCAGGGAATTCCCCAGCAGTCCAGCGGTTAAGACTCTGTGCTTTCACTGCCATGGACCTGGGTTCAAAACCTGGTGGGGGAACTAAGATCCCACAAACCGCAAGGCACGGCCAGAAAGGAAAAAAATATCAGCACACAAAAATCAGTTGCCTTGGTATACACAATATGCACAATGAACAAATTCAAAAGGAAGTTAGAAAACAATACTGTTTACTATAGCATCAAGAGACAGACTAGGAAAAAATTACCCAAGGAGGTGAAAGACTTGCACACTGAAAACTACTAAATGTTGCTAAAAGAAATCCAAGGATATACAAATAAGTAAAAAGACACCCTGTACTCATGAATTGGAAGAATTAATATTCTTAAAATGACTTTATTACTGAAAGTGTTCTACAGATTCAATGGAATCCCTGTCAAAATTTCGAAGGCAATTTTTGCAGTTAAAAAAAAAATCATACTAAAATTCATAGGGAATCTCAAAGGATGCCCAACAGCCAAAATACTCTTGAAAAAGAAGATGGACATCATTTTCAGATTTCAAAACATATTACAAAGTAATCAGGATGATGTGGTACTGGTATAAGCACAGATACAAAACCCAGTGGATACCAGAAATAATCCAGTGAATATATATAAAATGTACAGCCAAGGGTGCAAAGACTACACAAAGGGGAAAGGACAGTCTCAATAACAAATGATGCTGAGCAACTACATACATCCCAGCAAAAAAATGAAGATGGAACCTTACTTGCATCAAAGGTAAAAAACTTCTGTATCACAGGATACAATCCACAGAGTGAAAAGACAACCTCTGTGGAATGCAGGTGATGAAAGTGATTTAAAGAATTTCCCACTGTCAGAGATTTAGGTTGATTTCATAGTTCAAACTCAAGAATAGACTAAAACATTCCCTGGTGATCCAATGGTTAGCGCTTGGTGCATTCACTGCAGTGAGCCCGGGTTCAATCCCTGGTCGGGGAACTAAGTTCCCACAAGCCTTGGTGGGGCATGGCAAAAAAAAAAAAGTTAAAAGACAGAACAAATTACCTCTTACTGGTCTGTTTTCCAGATTTTACGAGATACTGTGCATATTAACGTCCAGCTTCTTTATCCTGCTTGACAGACAGCAGACAGTGCATCCTGATGGGGCCCTAAGCAATCCCTGCTGTCCAGTATCACTGACACCATGTCTCCAATCCATGGGTGTGAAGCCCTGCCCAGGACTACACCCAGCGGAGCCCCTTCACAAGTTCCAGGTCACTGGGTTATGGGGAAATGGGATCTAAGTGGAGATGACAGGCCCTGAGGGAAGGACCCGAGTGAGTGTGAATGTACGGGTGTCAGGCAGGATAGTTCAGAGTCAGAGATTAGCGAGTCCAAAGAAGGGCATTTCAGGAAGCACAGGCAGAAGAAACAACTGAGAATATGGCTTTACCTGAGAAAGAGCCATTCCAGACTCCTTTTCTTTCCTCTCCCTCCTCTTCTGGGCTTCTTCCTCAGACAAGAGTCTTTAGAGGTCGATCCTGAAAGTGGAAAACAAGCTGTTTAATGCTTAGAATCAACACACCCCCTTCCTGAGTCACCACCACACGCACAGGGAAGCCCTCAGCATGGGGAACAGACGGTCCTCTGCTGCCCACTGTCCCAGGAGGGACTCGGGACAATAACTCCCACACAGAGACCAACCAGTGAGTTTTCCCACCCTTTCCTTCAGATCAGGCTCCCCTCCTGGTGAGGCCCTCACGTACCCAGCAGCAGCGGGCACCTCAGCTGGACCCGACGATCCCCTGCAGGTCACAGACCAGCCCTGATCCATCCCCAGGCAGAGCAGAGCCCTCACCCTCAGCCCAGATCTCAGCCCTCAGGAACGGGGGGACTCAGAGTCACGATGCTCAGTGAGGGATCCGGATTGGAACATCCTGGGGCACCTCAAATATTGTTGAGGTTGGACCCCCACACTGACAGTATGAAGAGGAATCCCTGGTCAGAGGGTACAAAACATGTCTGTACAAAATTCTTCATCGATCTAAGGAAACGCCTGGGTTGAGCAGCACTCACAGGAGGCAAGCCCAGCACAGCCCCCACCTGCTTTTCATTTTCCAGCTTTACTGAGGTCTAACAGATGTATAACAATGGTGTACCTATGAGGCATCCAATGTGCTTATTAGACGGATGTATACACTCTGTAATATTCATAACAGAGTGCTTTACACGTCCATCAACTCACAACGACCATTTTATTTCTGTGTGCTAAGAACACTCAAGTGTTACTCTCTCAGCAAATACCAGATATATAGAAACACAGTATGATTAACGATAGCACGATGAACATTAGATGAACATGTTGCAAATATTTACCTAAATATAATGATTTCATTTCCTTTGGCTATCTAGACAGAGGAATCTCTAAATTGTTTTCCGTAATAGCCATATCATTTACATTCCCACCAATGAAGCACAAGCGTTCGTGTGTGTGTGTGTGTGTGTGTGTGTGTGTGTGTGTGTGTGTGTGTGTTGAGACAGGGAGAGGACCGTAGAGGAACCAGCACTGGCCTGGCAGCAAGAAAGTAGCGGCTACACCTTCCCAAGAACGTGCCTCTGTATTACTGATCACTGTGGTGTTGCTGGCCCTCTGATTCTTGGAACAATCTCTCCCTACATTAAAGAACTTAATGGCCCCTCTCAGGTTCTGTCCACAGAAACATACCTAGCAAAATCTCCCTAATGAAAACCTTCTGCTGTTTGAAGCTTACTACTCATAACTTCCCTTCTGGACTCAAATGAACTTACAAACTTTCATGGGGTCCAACATAGTCTCGATAAAACCCATAATGATCAACTCATCGTGCTAGAAAATACCAGAAAACATGCCAAACTCTAATAAATCATGCCAGAGGGAAAAATACATATAAGACACCCAAGGAACCAATAGATGCAAAATACCATATTTTCATTCACAGTAACCACAGCCCAAACACTGTCATCTTCAAAAACTACACATAAAAGAAAGATGTTTCCAACGATGGACATCCCCCAGTGAGACCCAAAAATCCCCCAAGGCAACACTCCAATTCCCCTTTCGTTATGTTTCACAGTGCAACTGAAAATTTCTTTATCTGCGACACAAAATACTAAAAAGTACCAAAGGTAAACAACAAACTGACCTCCATATTAGTCTAAAAACTGCACAATGATTCCTCTCTTTCTCTCTCCCTTTTTTTCTTCTGGAGCAGGAAGGATTTATTACTTGCAGCAAGTAAGGAGAACACCAGAGATCTTTCCCAAAGCAGTATCCCTGCACAATGATTCTTGACCTCCCAGAATACCCAAAACAAGTCACTTGTGGAGTGGATGCTGTAGGGCACCCTCTAGCTCCACTGCCTGAGGACAAGGCACCCATCCTCCTGCACCCAAAAATCCCTGTGGGCTCAGCTCAGGCCACACTTTTTTTAACCACAATGGAGGAAAATGTTTCTCTTTGCCTAAAACCACTGCCTTCATTCCTCCTCATGTATGGCCATGAAATACCAGATTAAACCAATGCATGGAAACCTCAGTGTCAGCAGCTATGTCCCAGGGAACCTGAGCTAAGACACTATGGCACCTCAAACCATGCAATGCACCCACAACTACCCATAAACCCAATTCCAGGTGCTCCAGCCAGAACTGACACATCCCTTGCCAGGAGTTTCACACACCCCTTGAGCCCAAAAGGGACAAATGCATACACCATTCATTGGGCTCATCTTGAAGCCCACACTTGCTGCCATATACCTCCTGCAGGCTCTCCTCCAATTTTCCCATTGTTCTCCCTCTCCTCCTTGCACTCATGGGCAAACAGGGCTAAAGGACAAAAGTACCTCTCAGGAAAGCCATCGCAACAGGAATACACACAAGCTGCCACCGAAAGGACACTGGGCATTCAACATGCAGGTCAACAAAGTTGGCCCTCCTGTAAAAACTTAGGAGAAAGTAAGAATGTTACGGAGTCCAGTTACAAAGGACATTTGAATGCAGTGTGGGAGACTCAAAGATAGGCGGTCCCCAGATTTCTTGTCCCCAAGACAGATGGTCCCAAGTTTCTTCTCTCCTGTTCTCCCAGCTCACAGGTAATTAAAAGATACCCTAACTCTCTGAGGGAAGTCTCCTTCATTCCTCCTTAGGTTCTGGACTTTGGCCCACAGTTACCACAGTGAAATCACTACCCCTGACTCGGAGCAGATGAACTGCTGGAAGGCAAAGCTCCTGTCCAAGGAGGCAACTGGTCCCTGGATGTGCACAGCCTGGAACACCTGGGGGCTACAGTGGAGCAGTGACACAGCACACTAAACATGGGGACACCTCAACATACTACATGAGGACATCAGTTCTGCAGGGATTGTTAGCACTCCCTGCATCTTTTTGCTCTTATTTTGAGTAATTAAGCAGCCATATGGGGTAATAATCAATTAGAGTTGAAATGTCCAGAACAAATGTAGGAACCATTCTCATCACCTACCGTGTTCCCCTGGTCTCCCCTGAGGATTATTCAGCCCAACCCACAGTCCCAGCCACTAAACACATCCCCAGAGGGAGATGCCGCAGCTATTCAGGGAAGAAGAGGAACACTGTGCATCCTTCAATGAACGGAAAAGGAAGAAGACTCCAAATAATCAATGGAGAGGGGCATTTCTGTTGAAGGTGATTGATACAGAGGCAATAAAATGTGACACAGATAGTCAGGAGGAGATGGCGAGCCCTCTCTGAGCCTAGACCTGAAGGGAGATAAAGGGCCTGTGCCATGGTGACTTCAAGGCAAAAGGTAAGAACAGGAACTATGATGTCAGATAGAAATAGTTTTTGTTTGGAAACAGACAAAAGGTGAATGTGCCCAGGGTAGAGTGAACCATGAGAACAGGGTCAGCTCCCAGGATGAGGCTGGAGACACTGAGGGCCCTGATGACACAGGGCTGAGCAGCCACAGGGAGGAGCTGGGATTTGTCCTGAGGGCAAATAGGAGCCGGTGCAGGTCTGAGTGCCAGAACTGGCATAAACTCTCCTCGGATTTATACTTAATGCAGAGAAATATTTCTGACTACGGTCACTTCTACCCCGAGCCTGTGGGAAGAGAGGAACCCAGATACAATTCTAAACAAAACTAGACACTCTCTCCAAAAAGAAGACAAACACAGACACACACCCAATTTGGCCAATCACTTCAGGGGCAGTGTTACTCTGACTGAGAGTTTCTGGTCTAGTCTCTCATCTCCATGTTACAAGTGGGCGCCCTGAGGCCCAGAAGGGAGACTTTTCTGAGAAAGTCCTGGTTGAGTGAAGAGAATCAGGTGTAACTGAATTCTGAAATGAGATCCTGAGGGGTCGGTGGGCAGAGTCTGCCCTTATCGCCTGTCCCATTTAAAACACCATCTTTCAGGTGCCTGATCAAAGGAAACTTCTCTTTCAATGTCTGATCACACTGTCAGCAAACAGGTAATTTTTCTTTCCAGAAAAATCACAGTAAAAGAATTTAAAAATAAACAATTGGAAAAGCATAGTTGCTGGTGCATAAAACATTGCAAGCGTTCAGCTTAGAAACAAGATCTGAGCAAACTTCTTCATCATGAATAGAGGAATAAAAGGGGAAAAAGAATATTAGACTAACTGGTTAAACTAGGTTTTGACTGTTAATATAAAAGATCAATGACATATCTACCAAGTACTCATCAAAAGAGTCTAAAATTATTTACTAGTTACCAAAGAACTTTACCAGTATACAAAGATAAAGCAGGGGAAGAACTCAGGTGTCAATTATATCTGAATAAATAAAATGAATTTGTGAATTTTTTTAATCTAAAGATCCTGCTGTCAATGTTTTAAAAAAAATTGAGGATTGGGGCTTCCCGGGTGGCGCAGTGGTTAAGAATCCGCCTGCCAATGCAGGGGACACGGGTTCGAGCCCTGGTCTGGGAGGATCCCACATGCCGTGGAGCAACTAAGCCCGTGTGCCACAACTACTGAGCCTGCGCTCTAGAGCCCGTGAGCCACAACTACTGAGCCCGCGTGCCACAACTAATGAAGCCCGCGTGCCTTGAGCCTGTGCTCCGCAACAAAGGAAGCCACCGCAATGAGAAGCCCGCGCACCACAACGAAGAGTAGCCCCTGCTCGCCGCAACTAGAGGGCCCACGCGCAGCAGCGAAGACCCAACGCAGCGAAAAACAAATAAATAAATAAATAACAAAAAAAAATCGAGGATTTATCATATTTAGAAAAGAATCACATGAGTAGAATACATAAGGCCACCAAACTTATTTCACAAGTTAGTAATTATTTGCAGGAAATTAGATATCTAATGCACTAGGATATATGCAAAGTTAAAGGCAAGACATAAATGTAAAGAAACCAGAGAGAAGAAAGTAAGTCCATTACAGAAAAACAAAATTTTTAGTGTTTCTTTAAAGAAGCACCATGTAGTGAAAGTCAGTCATTTCCTGCCCCACTAGTCTCTCCCCTGTCCTCTACCCCACACCAGGAAATGCAAGGGGGTGACCCACAACTGCATGAGTCAACTCACCGCCCCTTGGCTGAACAGGGATTGCAAAGGGAAGTTTTCCTGTCATACAAACAATTACAAAATGCACAAACCTTACAGTTTTGCAATACAAATCCTCACCTGTATAATTAAGCAAGCAACATTTCAATTTATTAAGAGTCTAAAGCCAGAAGTCAGTATATCATAACTTAATCGTCCAAATCCAATCAACTCACCCCCCACCGGGACCCAGTCTGCCCTCTACCTGCACTACTATGTGTTTCCATTTTATTGTCTATTTCTTTCCCTGTTTCTGTCTCCTTCTTTTTGATCTTATCTACTCCCCTGGTGCTCCTGCTGGCCTATCCATACATTTCTGCCTCTTTCTTCCCCCAACTCTACTCCCTCTCTGCCCGGCCCGTGACACCCCTTCTGTTACTCTCCCTTCCTCCCCACTCTCCGGCACCCCAGGTGGCTGTGCTTCCTTTCTGCTCTCTCTCTTCCTCTGCTCTGCTAGCCACAGAAGTCCTCTGCTTCTCTGCCAGGACCAGGATGCCCTGAAGGCCATGGTTCCACCGTTTATCCTCTCCCAGATTTTCCGTGCAGTGCCTCACCACTGCTGCGCTCCCTACTACCACTGATCCAGGGCCTCTATGTTGCTCTGCAATCCCTGGAGATCCGCCGTTTTCCTTTACTTCTCGATTTTATTCACCTGCTATTTTCAAGGTTTACTTAGTCTCTTTCATTTCACTGTCTCTTTATAAGCTCCTCAGCCATCCTCTACGTCTCCATCCGCTCTCCCTCATTCTTTCCACCCTGTCAGCTTTTCTATTTCTCTCAGTCGCTCTGTCTCTGCTCCTCCAGTTCCCCCATCGCCCACATGTTTACAGAGACCGAGACGGAATAACATGCCGCCTACCGGAAGAGTCCATTCTCCAGCGGGGTGGAATTTCACATGGCTGGCCCAGGTCACTCCCCGCCCCCCACGCCGGGTGAGGGGAAGGGCTGACTACGAAGGGGAGGCCGGGGGAGCAAAAGGACCGGCCTGAGGAGACGCGAGGACAGAGGCGCTGGGAGGGAGGGAGGGGGTCTCAGGAGAGGGGCGGGCTCTGCAGAATGCCAGGACCGGGGAGAGGACGTGGCCTGTCCGGGAGCGGGGCGGCCGGCGCTGCCCTCCAGGGGCCGAGAGGGCGAGGCTGGGGGGCGCGAATCCACCTCGCGGAAGGGGACGTTACAGGCGGCGGGAAGGGACGGAGGTAGTAATGGATTTTAAGCAGGAAAATGTCGCGAATGGAGGTGTCTACCTGGACCGAAGGCAGAAAAGCCAAGGGCACCGGGACCGGCCTCAGAGCGAATTCAAACCCAAAGGTAAACATGCCTGACCTGTAACGGCGACGTCCGGATTTACTGGGAGCGTAGAGGCGGGTGCTGAGATTTACGGTCCTTGGTGACCCCCCCACACTCTGAAGATGGAGAAAGGGGGGCCGCGCGGCACAGAGTCACACCAGAAAAGAAAACTTACTCTCAGCAGGGTGACCTTCTCTCCGCGCTGTCCGCTTCCGCTTCCGTTATTAACGGCGCGAGCGCGGAGTTAGAAGCAGGGCTTCTGGGGGCGGGGCTTGCGCGGAGCGCTAGCGGCGAGGGGCGGGGCGAGGAGGGAGCCCCTTTCAGTCCAGGGAGCGCAGTTAGGCGGGGCAGGAGGCGGCGGCGAGGGGTAGGTGGCGGCGAGGGGTAGGTGGCGGCGAGGGGTAGGTTGGTCCCTGCAGCTTGAAACTGCTTGTTTTAATTTACTGTTTGCTACAGTTTTAAGGCAAAAGCTTACCGTTGCTTGGGCCAGTTATATCGGAAACTAAGATGTTTCCTCCTAACGAGTCGAGAATGGTGTCAATAAAAAGCTGTTTTTACCAGCAGTTAGCTGGCGTGTCTAAGTGAATTGATAAATGTATATGAGATAAAAGGTTCCAGGTAGGGCTTCCCTGGTGGCTCGGTGGTGAATAATCCGCCTTACAATGCAGGGGATTTGGGTTCAAGCCCTGGTCTGGGTAGATCCCACAGGCCGCAGAGCAACTAAGTCTATGTCCCACAGCTGCTGAGCCTATGCTCTAGAGCCCGCGAGCCACCACTACTGAAGCCCACGTGCCTAGAGCCCGTGCTCCGCAACAAGAGAAGCCACAGCAACGAGAAGCCACGCACCTCAATGAAGAGTAGCCGCCGCTCCCCGCAACTAGAGAAAGCCCTTGAGCAGTAACAAAGACCCAACGCAGGGCTTCCCTGGTGTCGCAGTGGTTGAGAATCTGCCTGCCGATGCAGGGGACACGGGTTCATGATCCGGTCCGCGGAGCGGCTGGGCCCGTGAGCCATGGCCGCTGAGCCTGCGCGTCCAGAGCCTGTGCTCCGCAATGGGAGAGGCCACAACAGTGAGAGGCCCGCATACCGAAAAAAAAAAAAAAAAAAGACCCAACGCAGCCATAAATTAATTAATTAATAAAAAACACACTTGCTACATTCGGCTTCTTGATGCACACAGAACTCATGGTGCAATATGAATGTTAGAAATACTTGTGAAATACTGTTCAGATGAATTGCCGAGGATATTTTCCACTTGTTTCATGAAAATTAATGTGTGCAGGTATTTATCAGATTATAAATATGAATCATAATTTTTCAAGAGGCTTTTTGAAAGGCTATTAAAAAAGTTAAGTTATAGTAATAAGCATTATATCTCAACTGTTATAAAATTCCATTTTGTATATCCTATATGATACATATGCATGATACATATTTATTTATTGAACTATGGTTGATTTACAATATGAATTCACTGCACGTGCACAGCATAGTGATTCAGAATTTTCATAGATTATAAAACTTATTACAAAATAATCGCTATGATTCCCTGTGCTGTGCAATATATTATTTAAGATATTGCTTATCTATTTTATACAAAGTATTGATAGCTTGGCTCTCTCAATCCCATACTCTTATCTTGCCCCTCCCCTCCTCCCTCGCTTCACAGGTAACCTAGTTTGTTTTCTCTGTGAGTGTGTCCTGTTTCACTATATACATTCATTTCTTTTCTAGATTCCACATTTAAGTGATATCAAGTAGTATTTGTCTTTCTCTGTCAGACATATTTCACTTAGTATAATATGCTCTAGGTCCACCTATGGTGCTGCAAATGGCAGAATTTCATTCTTCTTTGTGGCTGAGTAATATTTCATTGTAGATACGTATACCACTTCTTCTTTAATCCATCTTTTTCCTTTTTTTATGACTTAAAATTTTTTTTTATTTATTTTGGGCTGCGTTCGGTCTTCATTGCTGCTCACGGGCTATCTCTAGTTGCCGCGACCGGGGGCTACTCTTCGTTGCGGGCATGGTCTTCTCAATGCAGTGACTTCTCTTGCTGTGGAGCACACGCTCCAGGTGCACGGGCTTCAGTAATTGTGGCACGTGGGCTCAGTAGTTGTGGCTCGGGATCTCTAGAGCGCAGGCTCCGCAGCTGTGGCACACGGGCTTAGTTGCTCTGCGCCATGTGGGATCTTCCCGGACCAGGGATCGAACCCGTGTCCCCTGCATTGGCAGGCGGCTTCTTAACCACTGCACCACCAGGGAAGCCCTAATCCATCTTTTTCTTGATGGACATTTGGGTTGCTCCCATATACTGGCTACTGTAAATAATGCTGCTATGAACATTGGGATGCATGTATCTTTTCAAATTAGTGCTTCCATCATTTTCAGATATATACCGAGGAGTGGAATTCCTGGATCAAATGGTAGTTCTATTTTTAGTTTCCTGAGGAAGCTCATTTTGTGAGTCATATATTTCATTATTATTTTTAAAAACACACTTTGCCCAATTTATCTATTTCATTTGCATTTCTTCCGTTTTACTTCACTGAAATGCCTGGAGGATGCATACATCAAGGGGTTGTTTTAAGATTTGTGTGGCATGTACACAGAGAAATGACAGATGCAATGTATGAATTCTATCACCATGAAGACAGAATCTCCTCACATTTCAAGTTTATTGAGACAACTGTAATAGTACCAGATAATGAACTAGTCTCACAGTGCATAGCAAGAGACTTATTGCAAATGTGCAGGTGCATCACTGGTATTTTATTTTTATGATTATGATTATTATTATTTTTTTTAGCCAGGCTGTATGGTATGTAGGATCTTAGTTCCCAAACCAGGAATTGAACCCACGTCCCTTGCATTGGAAGCATGGAGTCTTAACCACTGGACTGCCAGGGAAGTCCCTAACACTGGCATTTTGGAAACACGGTCTGTTAATTTTACCTTAAAAATGTCTCTCTCACAGAAACAGACTCATAGAGATAGAAAATAGACTTGTGGTTGCCAAGGGGGGGTCGAGAGGGAGAGGGATGGACTGGGAGTTTGGGGTTAGCAGATGCAAACTATTATATGTAGAATGGATAAACAACAAGGTCCTACTGTATAGCCCAGGGAACTATATTCAATATCCTGTGAGAAACCATAATGGGAAAGAATACTTAAAAAAAGACGGTCTATATGTGTATAACTGAGTCACTTTGCTGTACAGCAAAGATTGACACAACTTTGTAAATCAACTATACTTCAATTAAAAAAATAAGGTATCTCGGGGTTTCCCGGGTGGCGCAGTGGTTGAGAGTCCGCCTGCCGATGCAGGGGACACGGGTTCGTGCCCCGGTCCGGGAAGATCCTACATGCCGCGGAGCGGCTGGGCCCGTGAGCCATGGCCGCTGAGCCTGCGCATCCAGAGCCTGTGCTCCGCAACGGTGGAGGCCACAACAGTGAGAGGCCCGCGTACCGCAAAAAAAAAAAAAAGTATCTCTCCAGTTCCTCCCCTTCTTGCCATTGTTCCTATAATCATGTCTTCCTTCCACTGGTACAATGGAAACTGGAACTCCTCTCTCCAACACCTTGTAGGCCATGGTTAGTAAATCGGAACAATTTTCTGAATTCAACATGGAGATATTAGCTTGTTTCTTTTGTTGTATAATTTGCATACAATAAAATATACAGTTTTCACGTTCACCATACAGTGGGATTTAGTATGTTTGCAATGCTGTCCAACAACGTTTTCATCATTCGTCATCACCTCTTAAAAAAACTCTGTATGCGTTAATAGTTACTCAGCACTCTACCCTGAGCCACAAGCAAATATTTAGCTACTTTCCATCTCTACAGATATGACTATTCCGGGCATTCTATATAAATTAAGTCACACAATATATTGCCATCTCCCTTCTTGTACTTGGCATAATGCTTTCAAGGGTCATCCATGATTAACCTTTATCAGTGCTTCGTAACTTTTATTTCTGATGAGAAACATTCCAGTTTGTTTAAACATTCATCATTTAATGGAGTTTTGGGTTCTTTCCACATTTTGGCTATTATTTAAAAAATGCTTCAGGCTTCCCTGGTGGCACAGTGGTTAAGAAACCGCCTGCCAATGCAGGGGACACGAGTTCGAGCCCTGGTCTGGGAAGAGCCCACATGCCCAGAGCAACTAAGCCCCTGTGCCACAACTACTGAGCCTGTGCTCTAGAGCCCATGAGCCACAACTACTGAAGCCCCCAGGCCTAGAGCCCATGCTCCGCAACAAGAAAAGCCACCACAATGAGAAGCCCGCGCACCGCAACGAAGAGTAGCCCCCACTCACTGCAACTAGAGAAAGCCCACGCGCAGCAACGAAGACCCAACGCAGCCAAAAATAAATAAGTTAAATAAATAATAAAAATAAAAAACGCTTCTATCAACAATCTTTTACAAGGTGTTAATGTGGAAAATGTTTACAAATCCCTTGGGTAGATATGTAAATGTGGATTGCTTGGTGGGTTATTGTGATTTTTAAGAAATGTGGATTTGGTCATTCGGACGAGTAGTGCATTATTTCTCCTCTCATCTTATTTGGCAAAACTGGTTGATTTGAATTTTAAGGATCAATAATATTTTATTGCAAACTACAAATAAAAAGGAAAATAGTAATTTAAGAAAGAATTTATATTAGGACCTACAACTTTCCAAAAGTAACAATCTGTACAAAAGGTTGCTACAAAACTAATCACCAAATATGTTCCCAGTCCATCTGTGCTCATCTATAAATTACTTTAATTATTAAGATGAAATGTAGCACACATATGTATATCATATTTAGCTTCTAACTAGTAAAATCAGATCTACATTGGATAATGATATTTTAAAAGGAGAATGAATCACCCAGGAAATAATCATTTGTGGCTAAACTAACATTTTGAAGTCATTAAACTCCAATTTTTCAATAAACAGTATGGTAACAACAACAAAAAAGAATTATTTCCTGTCTTCCAGAACAGTGTAACTTTAAGGTAACATTTTCAGGGCTTACCCTCAATTGAATATATTCTGTATTTTCAAGGAAATACTTATTTACTTATTTAAAAACATTTATTTATGGGCTTCCCTGGTGGCGCAGTGGTTGAGAGTCCACCTGCCGATGCAGGGGACACGGGTTCGTACCCCGGTCCGGGAGGATCCCACATGCTGCGGAGCGGCTGAGCCCATGGCCGCTGAGCCTGCGCGTCCGGAGCCTGTGCTCCGCAACGGGAGAGGCCACAGCAGTGAGAGGGCCGCATACCGCAAAAGACAAACAAATTTATTTATTTATTTTGGCTGTGCCAGATTCTAGTTGCAACAAGCGGGATCTTTTGTTGCAGCACGGGGGCTTCTTAGTTGTGGCATGAGAACTCTTAGTTGAGGCATGCGTGTGGGATCTAGTTCCCTTACCAGGGACTGAACCCAGGCCCCTCCATTGGGAGCGCAGAGTCTTACCCACTGGACCACCAGGGAAGTTCCATTTCTTTTTTTGATCGAAGGATAGCTGATTTACAATATTGTATGAGTTTCAGGTGTTCCACAAAGTGCTTCAGTTATATAAATTTTTTTCAGATTAATCTCCATTGTAGGTTATTCCAAGTTAGTGAATGTAATTTTATATGCCATACGGTAAATCCTTGTTGCTTATCTATTTTATGTATAGTAGCAAGTAAATCCTATTTGAGCCTCTAGTACTTCACGGAAAATATTTAATGTTCCTTCCCCAATATTTAACATCTCAGAGTTATGATATAGCAGTTATATTACTATATAGAGTCTAATATTAAAATATATTTGGAGGTGATATTAGAGTATTTCCCAACTACAAGCCTTTTGTATATTTCTCACATTCAGGTAGGATGGCATGGATAAAAAACATCTCAAAATGGATTCCTTTACTTCTTACCCTGATACTGGAATCAGAATAACTACATCACAATTGGAGAGGGAATTCTCTGGCAGTCCAGAGGTTAGGACTTGGCACTTTCACTGTGAGGGCACCGGTTCAATCCCTGGTCAGGGAACTAAGATCCCACAAGCTGCAGGGTACAGCTGAAAAAAAAAAAAAAACTGGAGAATGATTTAAGTGTGTTTAGAATCAGACACAGCAGAAAGGAAAGAAATCTGTGAGTTAGAAAACACAAGGGCTCTAAAAACTTTCCTTGACATTCTGAACATCAGAGTAGCCCAGTGTTACATGGAATATTACCCTATCACGATAAAGAAGAAAGTCTTTTGATATAATGTGTCCCTGACACCTTTTCCCTTTACTTTTTTTCTCTATTCAAGAGGGAAATGTGAAATTTGAAATTTCATATTATTAAAATTACAGTGGCCATTTAATGCAATTGGCTAATAATCTTCCATGAAAATGAGACAAAACCTAAAATTGAAGAGGGTTTTGCCTCTCAGCCTTCTTCGTCATCCCGCAGCCAGGTTGCTATGAAGACACTGAAGACTTTAAGTGCTCACGGCGGTAGAAGGGGCAGAGGACCTATCACACCGCCCACGGCACCCTCTGGACTTCCTGTTTGGTGAGAATGATAAACTTACTTCTTTCAGTTACTACCTGAGAAACAGAATTATTATTTTGTCACGGGTGTGGAATGGAGCACGAATGAAAGAATCCTAAACTTAAAATGTTGTGGATGAAAAATACTTCATGAAGACATCTCTCCACTGATGAGTTAGATCTTTTGAGCCCATGTGGGAGAAAATTTCACAACGTGTGAATAAATCATACTGTGAGAATTTATGACAAATGTTCAGAACATTCAGGTGTAATGTTAATGGAGTAAAGAATGTGAGGCCACAAATGCAACATAATTACATGTTTATCTGACCATTTGACTTACTGACCTATGAGCCGATGCATTACACAAACTTTCTTTGCACTGATAAACGCATTCACTCACCTGTCAGTTGGGAATGCTTCCAGTCACTGGATATCTAGCAGGAAACAAAATCAATACACTGCCTTCAAGGAGCATATATTTTCTACAAGGGAAAGTCAGCAATAATTAAATCAGATATGATAGTGTTAAGTACGATGAAGGTGTACACGTACAATGAGAGAGTGACAGGGTGTCCTAATGTAAACAACGTGTTCAGGAAATGCCCACGTGATATAAGAAGATATCTGAATAACATCATGAATTAATTGAAAGAGTGTCATGCGAATACACATGGGGACCATGAGACAAAGAAGGTAAGTGGCTTCTGGCATCCAAGAAAGGCAAGAAAACAAATTCTGCCCTGGAATATCCAGAAGGAGCACAGTGCTTTGGGTCATTTTACACATCTCGCCTCCAGAACCATAGGAGAATAAATCTGTGGTCCTTCAAGGCCCTCAGTTTGTGGTAATCTGTTACAGTAGAAACAGAAAATTTAATAAATTAATGTATGTAGAGAATCAAAACAATCTATACAAATTTCTAGAAAAAGTATAATTTGCAAGGTGTCAGGGTACAATGTGCAAAAATCCACTGTAATTTCACACACATGCAATTTACAAATGGAAATTGAAATTAAATATATAATACGATGTTTGCTCAAAAAAGTAAAAGTAGAAGGAAAATGTGTAAATCTAACAAAGTAAGGACTTTTATGCTGAAACCTACAACCTTAATGAAACAAAATGACCTTCTATTTAGGTCATCTGAGCGAAACATACCATATTCATTGAATTGTTAACAAAATATACCAGATTGACTGGAAGACACAACATAGGAATTATATTAAAATGCCCCAAATTGACATACAGGTTTAGTGTGTTTTCAATCAAGATTTCTGTAGATTCAAACAAGATTTTTCTAAAAATAATAGGGAAAGGCAAAAGAACTAGAAGAGCTAAAATACCTGAAAAATACTGAAGTGGCTGGAATCACTCCACATGACCTCAAGATTTCTAATATAGTGACAGTTATCAAGACTGGGTGGGATTTGTGCAGTGACAGACAAAATATACTAATGGAACAGAATGTGGAAACCAGAAAGAGCCCTACTTCAGTGCCGTTAACCCTTCAACAGCACAGGTGTGAGCTGTGTGGATTCAATTATATGGGCATTTTTTCCAAAGTACTACAGGATCTGTGGCCAGTTGAATCTGAGGATGTGGAACCACGGATAGAGAGCGACAACATTAAGTTATACGTTAATTTACAACTGGTCATGAGTCTAAAACCCTAACTCCATGCCTTGTTCAAAGGTCAAGTGTACTTCCAACCACTTTCTGACAAAGGTACTCAGCCAATTCAATGAAGGAAGGACTTTCCAACACTGGTGCTAATCAATGAAATATTCAAAGAAGAAAAAAAAAAGAGATCTCCATTTAAACTTTACATCTGTACAAATATTAGCTCAAAGTTAAAGCTTTAAAATAAAGTTTAAAACTTTATTCTATAAGAGATTTAGGAAAAACGGTATAGAATAAAATCTTCAGAATCCAGAACTTGATGCAGAGTTCTCAGACAGGTCACAAGAGCATGACCCAAAGAGAATATATCTGGGATGAATGTTTCCATGAAAACAAGACAGAATCTTAAAATGAAAAGGCTTTTTGCCCTCCACCTTCACCCTTCTCAGTCATACAGCAGTCATGTTACTATAGGAAGGTGAGGACCAAGTGCTCATGGTTGAAGAAGGAGCAGAGGACCCATCACACCCCACACTACACCCTCTGGACTTCTGTTAGGTGAAAAGGATGACGCTCCCACTTCTTTTTGGTCACTGTTCTCCAGGTGGTCTGTCACTCACAAATATAAACTGTCTTACCTGAGAAATAAGATTATTATTTCACATTCGTGGCATTTGTGAGGTAATCTCCAGAATGAGTTCTTTAATTAATAAATTTCTCCTCTTAAGGCCTGGCCACAATAAATGCATTTATCTGGTTGCTATTCAGAATGAATTTTCTAATGAAGCGTAAGATGTGGATGCCTGATAGAAGCCTTGTCATATCACTGTATTATTAAAGTCTCTCACCAGTATGGATTACCTGATGGTAAGTTAGGCTTGACAGAACACTGAAGGATTTGCCACACTCATTATATTTGAAAAGATTTTCTCCAGTATAAAGTATCTGGCAGATCTTAAGGTATGAATTTGGACTGAAGACGTTGAGATACTCATTACATTTGTAAGGTTTCTCTCCACTACGGATTATCTGATAGAAAGTGAGGCTTGCAGGCACAAAATCTTTGCCATATTCATGACGTTTGCTCAGCTTCTCCCCACTATAAATTCTCCAATGAATTGTAAGGTGTAAATTTTGAATGAAGACCTTCCCACATATGTCACATTTACATGGTTTCTCTCACGTATAAATTATCAGATACTTAGTGAGGGTTGAGATCAGAGTAAAGGCATTTCAACTCCATTAAAGTTGAAAGGTTTCTCTACATTATGTATTCGCTGATGAATTGCAAAAAGTGAATTTCGACTGAAGACCTTCCCACACTCATCACATCTGTAAGATTTCTCTCCAGTATGAACTCTCTGATGCTTTCCAAGGTTTGGCTTTTGAGAAAAGAACCTGCCACACTCATTACATTTGTAAGGTTTCTCTCCAGTATGAATTCTCTGATGACTTTCAAGATTTGAATTTCGATTGAAGACCTTGCCACACACATTACATTTGTAAGACTTCTCTTCATTATGAACTCTCTGATGCTTTGTAAGGTATGCCTTTTGATTAAAGAATTTGCCACACTCGTTACATTTATAGGGTTTCTCTCCCGTATGAATTCTCTGATGACTTACAAGATTTGAATTTTGACTGAAGACCTTGCCACACACGTTACAGTTGTAAGGTTTCTCTCCAGTATGAATTCTCTGATGACTTGCAAGATTTGAATATTGATTAAAGACCTTGCCACACTCTTTACATTTGTAAGGTTTTTCCCCAGTATGAATTCTCTGATGTCTTCCGAGATGTGAATTTTGACGAAAGACCTTACCACACTCATTACATTTGTAAGGTTTCTCTCCGTTATGAATTCTCCGATGGATTCTAAGGCATGAATTTTGACTAAAGACTTTGCCACACACATCACATTTACATAATTTCACTCCTGTATGGATTACCTCGTGTGTGGAGAGGTGAGAGCCACGATTAAAGGTTTTGCCACACTCATTACATTGGTAAGGTCTCTCTCCGGTATGAATCCTCTGATGACGTTTAAGGGAGGAATTCTGACTACACACTTTGCTACATACATCACATTTATACAGTTTCTCTCCGGTATGGCTCATCTGATGTCTACGGAGGGATGAGCCATGATTAAAGCTTTTGCCACAGTCATTACATTTGTAAGTTTTCTCACGAGTATGAGTTGTCCAATGACTTACAAGGTGTGACTTTAGACGAAAAACATTGCCACATACCCCACATTTATATAACTTCTCTCCCGTATGGATTATCTGGTGTCTGCGGAGGGATGAGCCATGATTAAAGGCTTTGCCACACTCATTACATTTGTAAATATCGTTCTTAAATACATGCAATTCATCCTGAAAGCTTAATGTAAGCCTATTTTCAATGGGCTTCTTTCCTGAATTCCACCTACTATGTCGATCTCTTCTGTGAATTACATTTTCCTTACAGGCTACAGACATTCCTTTGTAATTTCTTTCATCATCCTTCCACTGACACCCAAAGTCATCTTCCTGGATTTCCGTGAAGTAAAAATGTTTCATTTCATGGCTTTTCTGTCTTTCCAACATCACTGTTTGGAATACTTCTCCTCTATCACTGTTTGCTCTTGGTTGTAATTTCTTGATCACATGTATATGAGAGATATCTGCAAGAAACAAAGAACCATAAGGTGTATTATTCATTACAATTCATGAGTAAACGTTTAATGTTGAATATATGATATTAAACCAAAAGTATGTAATTCCCCAGTCCAGTGGTTAGGGCTCTGCACTCCCACTGCAGGGGGCACGGGTTCGATCCCTAGTCCAGGAACTAAGATGCCTCAAGCCACACAGCATGGCCAAAATAAAGTAAAATAAACACAAAGTAACACTTATGTCCAAAAAGGTTATGAAACTTCCCAATCATGACCTTAAAAATTTTAGGAACACTAAAAGAATAGGACTCTTTTTTGGTTTTTTTTTGGCTCACGGGCCCAGCCGCTCCGTGGCATGTGGGATCTTCCCGGACCGGGGCACGAACCCGTGTCCCCTGCATCGGCAGACGGACTCTCAACCACTGCGCCACCAGGGAAGCCCCAAGAATAGGACTCTTTACTAAAGAAAGAGTGATTACATGTAATTCAAATTAATATTAGGGTAGCCTAGTTCTAACACCCTATAACAGAAACATTCACACTAGACAAACTTATGTTAGCTCTTGAAGAAACAATATTTTTCCACCAAAGCATATACCAATTAACAATAGACATACTGTGATCTCATAAATGAGGATGTAAAAAATATTATACTGTACATATATTCTGCATACTATGGTACATAAATCAATGCTAAAGAACATACAATACTGTACATTACCATACTGTAATGGTACATAATCCAAAACAGACTTATCTAATGAATAATTTAAATAACTAGCAGTATAGAATTACAAAATACAGCATATAGAAAATGAAGAATTTGATAACACAATTTAAAAAAATATATTTTTCTAAATATCTGCTATAAAACTACGTACCCATAAAGAATACATATTTTACTACATTAACAAGTGGTACATGTCAGTTGTATTCTATAATAAATGCTGAAAAACCATCATATATAAATTACAATTAAAAATTAATAAATGGGGCTTCCCTGGTGGTGCAGTGGTTAAGAATCCCCCTGTCAATGCAGGGGACACGGGTTCGAGCCCTGGTCCAGGAAGATCCCACATGCTGCGGAGCAACTAAGCCCGTGCACCACAACTATTGAGCCCGTGTGCCTAGATCCCATGCTCTGCAACAAGAGAAGCCACCGCAATGAGAAGCCCGCACACTGCAATGAAGAGTAGCCCCTGCTCGCCGCAACTACAGAAAAGCCTGCTCACAGCGACAAAGACCCAGTGCGGCCAAAAATAAAATAAATAAAATTTTAAAAACACCAAAAAAATTAATAAATGTACTATTCTAGAGTTACCTAACCTAATAGACAGTTACCTAACCTAATAGACCTACCTTCACAGAGCACTTAAATTCTCCAGTTCATTGCCTCTAAAATATATGTAATAAAGAGTGAGCAATTTGTATATTTATTAACTAGGGTCAGACACAACGTTGTTTAGAACAAACTGGAGATGAAAAGCATACAAGATAGGATACAAAGTGATATGACAATAAACATGACAGAATATTAATATAACTATTTATAAAAAGTAACTTTTCAATCTTTACTATAAAACATACAAGATTCTAAGCCATCTAATGGCACTAATTTGTTTAAAAGGCTTGATGGAAATCAACAAAATTTTTAAAATCAGGGAAGTAGACTCACACGTTTATGTACATGACTGCAATTGATATAGAAAGTACTGAGAGAAACAGGATTTGAACCTGAACTTCCAAACTAAGACAACATATTCTCAAGCATGACTGCCCAGCCAGGCAGTACAGATTACAAAATATTAAAACAAATACCAGGAGTTTAAAAAGAAAACTCCAAGAGAGACGCAAAAGAAGGGAGCCATGTAACCGATAATGTTATTCAGCCACCACTCCTGAAAATGGTTTCTGAATCATCACAGCTGCACATAGTGATTTCGGTCATGTCATGAGAAAGTTATTCGACAGAAAAAGAGGGATCATTTTTACAGTCTGAGTAATGTGGAAGGTGGAGGGATGGGTGAAGGAGTGCTGCAGAAATTGAGACAATCAGGGGAACAGCATAAATACGTGAGCAAGTAACAGTGGTTCCATCTACGTCAAAGTACCACGTCAGGAAGGGTCAGGTCTGAGAAAGGGCATGAGTGGAGCACAGGGTATATGCATATTGGGAGCACAGCTTGTGATTGTCCATCTGTGTGAATATAACTGTACAAGAGGAGAGCAGCCAAGATAGCGGAGTGGAAGGACCCTAAGCTCCCCTAGTCTCAGGAGCACATCCAAATGACAACAACCATGGCTGAAAAAGACTGAAACCTACTAGAAACCTAACAGAACATAAAGAAACCTACCAGACATAAAGAAAAAACCACAAGGAGATACATAGGAGGGGGCGGGCCCATGATACCACCAAATCCCATACTTTGTGTGGGTGACAGACAAACTGGAGAATAATTGTATTACCGAGGTCTTCCCACAGGATTGCGAGTTCTGAGCCCCACGTCAGACCCTCCAGCCCTGGGGTCTGGCATCAGGAAGAGGAGAACTTGGACAAAGTTTTCCTGGGATAAATTCCTACATCATTTCCTGAGGCTCATAGGGGATGGTCATTAGTACATGGAAACAAGATTGTCACAGTGCCCGTAAGAGAGGCTTTTGTGACAGTCCTCAAAGCCAGAAAAAATACGGGAAAGGCTTCTCAGTCAGGCTCTCGTGATACTTTCTATCTCGTGTCCTACAACACGCAGACCACTCTACTGAGTAGCTTCAAGTGGCGACTTACCGTGGAGCAGGAAAATATTACAGCATATGAGGGAAAGCATTCTCCAACGAAAATTTCCTGTCACCCAGTAAACCCACTCCACAGAGAGTCCATCCGTAGCTGTCTGCTACAGGTGGATTATCACAGCAAAGAAACTGGATAAAATTTCAGACTCTAGGAATATGTATTTCAAAAGCAAGCTTCAAAAGGCAAAATCATGCAAACTTAGAAGAATATGAAATCAGGAGAGTCTGCATTACGGACTTGGTAGAGCAGTACAAGAGCGAAAACAATACAAGATATGGGGGTCAGATATTACAGCCCTCGAGAAGAAACCATGCATTCTATCCAAGATGCCAAACTGAGAGCCTGGAAGATTCACATATTCCCCCCGTGAGGGACTGGGAAATAAAAAGAGGATCTCTCTGTCCACTGTCTTTATAGTTTTGCTCTGTAAAAATTACACAAGATCCAATCTACCTCTCTGTTTCACACACCCCTGAAGTGTGCGGCAAAATCAGAACAGGAGAAATGGCTGTGAAGTCTAAACAAGCAGACGGGGCTTGAGACAGCTCCATGCCGGTTCTGAGGTGCCAGATGGAATGAAAGAGCAGCCAGTGTTTTCCCATCTTCTGATGAGGTCTTCAAAGAACACAAATAGGGATAAAACTGAGAAAGGCCCAGAGACTGGAGTCTGGAGGCATCAACTCTTATGATATGGACTGAGAACTGAGCACCCAATGAAGTCAAGTACAGAAAGAGAAATGAAGGGGGCAAAAGATGCCTTTAAAACAACCCTCTTCACGCTCCTCAAGGTCAAGTAAAATCTAGTTCACAGGGGCCAGATGGCAGAGCATATATCATGATAAAGACTTTACCCTTTGGGCTTCCCTGGGGGCGCAGTGGCTAAGAATCTGCCTGCCAATGCAGGGGACACGGGTTCGAGCCCTGGTCCGGGAAGATCCCACCTGCCGCGGAGCAACTAAGCCTGTGCGCCACAACTGCTGAGCCTGTGCTCTAGAGCCTGTGAGCCGCAACTACTGAGCCCACGTGCCACAACTACTGAAGCCTGCGAGCCTAGAGCCTGTGCTCCGCAACAAGAGAAGCCACTGCCATGAGAAGCACATGCACCACAATGAAGAGCAGCCCCCGCTCGCCGCAACTAGAGAAAAGCCCACGCGCAGCAACGAAGACCCAACGCAGCCAAAAATAAATCAATAAAAATAAATAAATTAAAAAAAAAAAAGACTTTGCCTTTGTCTCTGATGGGGCTGCAGCCCCACCAGAGGGTGAAAGAATACATTTTACACGTTGAATGACAGAATGATAACCCAGGAATAAGAAAAATGTCCTCTCAGAGTTCACAATAAATAAACTTCTATTTTCGGGAAGAACTCTCCCACTTGGGTAGAGTTACCCAAAGACTACTAATGCTGCCGCTTCTTCTCTGCCCTTCTGAGACCTAACCTGTGTTCACACTTCTGATAAATTCCCACCCCCTTGTTTTTTTGCTATTTTCACATCACTCTTCAGAGGCTAGGGATCTTCCTCTTCTTCCAAAATGCAAATAATATTCAGATCAGAAATAGAAATTTCTGCTTCTCAAAAGAAATAAATAAGATCTGTGGCTCTTCCAGAATCCCAGCTCTTTGTTCAGCTGAGGAGTGAGGACATGACGGGTGGGTCTGGAAAAATATTTCACCGATTGCTCCACCACTTGCCTCCTTCTGAATGCAGAGGGAACAGTGTAATATGCAGATAATTAGCTCTCTTCCAAGAAGTAGTGAATCGAAAGCACAGGGGTAGAAAAAAGAGAATTCATTATTTGAAAAGTTTGCCCTGAGCTTTATAAATACTTAAGCTCTGGAACAATGCCTGACGTATCATGAAATGGATAGATCATTTGCAGAAAAGTGAAGCTTAAACTCATGATATCACATCATGAAGCTTTTCATATCTGAGTCAACAGGGATTTCAGATCAGTCAAGCAAAACAAGGGCTCCCAAGGGGCACAGAGGGAAAATGCAAAGATACCCAAAAGGCATATCCCAACTTCTGAAGGGAAGTTATCCTCACCCAGGGAGATCAGGTTGCTGTAGGTCTCCAACATCACATCCACATAAAAGGCCTTCTGATCAGGGTCCAGGCATTCCCACTCCTCCCGAGAGAATTCTATGGCCACATCCTTGAATGTCAACGGTGCCTGAAATGAAAACATATCTCATCAAGGGGCCATGAAGAGAGTTCTTATTATCACACAAAATGAGAAGAGGAGAGAGTGGTAAGGATCAATTCAGTGGAAGTATGTAGTCTGACAGATCCATGTAAAGGTATTTAGGGAAATTATGGGTCTCTAATTTTAATTTCTTATGCCTTTTCATAGCAATTACGATATCCTCCAATCAATGTAGATTTTTCATTTTTCCAGACAACACACGAAAAACTTAGAAATAAAATTCAATAACAGGTTGTCTATGCAGAAGTGTTACATATTATGTTTTACACACTGCATGATATTCAAAATCTAAATGAGCTACAGTATCAGTGGTGCCTTCAGAGATGACAAAGTCCACAGTGGCTTTACAGAAAGGTCAAAATCTGCAATTATGATAATGATAACAAGAGCAATGACTAGAAGTGTTGGAACAATTCCTATATGCTAGTATCATTCTAAATAAATTCTTTACATGTATGAAATTGTTATAAACATAAAAGCTCATTAGAGATGACCTGTTCCAATCTTACAAAGGATAGTACTGTGTCAGCTCACACACAGATGCACATAAAATGTTAGTAATCGTATTGTTATTTAAACCATTAACACAATACTGTAGGAAAAATTCGAGGCCAAGGAACACATTTAAGATATAATTTCAAATGCAAAAAGATAGGTTTGAAATAATGATGTCTTTATCAAAACCATGGACTTGCACTTCCATGCACTCGTGCACACACATGTAAACACACAATTAATTGAAAAGGCAGGAGTTCCCTGGTGGTCCAGTGGTTAGGTCTCGGCAATTTCACTGCTGTGGCCCTGGGTTCAATCCCTAGTTGGGGAACTAAGATCCCTCAAGCTGCTTGGCTTGGGAAAAAAAAAAAAAAAAAAAAAAAGATAGGAGTTGTCTATTGACATATTTTTGAATAACATTTTCTGTTATCATTTTCATCCACGTTTATTTCAGCATTTTCGAAGAACGAGAAAGTATGACCTGCACTTAATTTAATTCATCAACATTATTCTATAGTAGTCTAGTAAAAGAAAAATGGTACAAACATAAAGAGAAAAATACAAAACTTTTAACTCCTATCTCTATACAACACCTAAATTGAAGAATATAAGTACAATTTTATCCACTAAAATTAAAATAGGTAGGTATTAACAAACGCAGAACAGAGTTTGTGTATTCCACTTATAAAACACTGACTCAAAATTAGAAGTTATTACATTAATTTAACATATTAAGAAAAAGACTTATCACAATAATAAAGTTTAAAACTTCCTGGAGAATTAAAAATCATGACAAAAAGGAATATAGAAAAAAATATATTGTTATGAAGCAAGAACATTTCACCAAACATTAAAATCAGAAGGAAACCCTCAATGCTTTCCCTCTGAAGTGGAGTGAAGGGGGATGGCCAGGGCTCCTGCCTTTCACCACTGTACAGTGTGCCTGAGCAGCGACCACCAGAGGAAGTAACAGGAGGAAAACAGGGAACAAGAGCGAGAAACACACAGAGAGTGCGTCAGAGCTGCAACTGTGAACATTCACAAATCTAAGGACATGGGAAGGTAAAAAGTGAAAGGATGGAAAAAAATATTCCATCCTAATGAGAGCAGGGGCGACTACATAATGTCAGACAAAATAAACTAAAGACAAAATCTGATACAAGAGACAAAGGACAATATATACTACTAAAAGAATCAATTCCCTAAGAAGATATAATTTTAAGTACTTATATATCTAACATTAGAGCTCTCTCCAAAAATGAAGGAAACACTAACAGAAACAAAGAGAGAAATAGCAGCACAATAATCCTATGAGACTTTAACATCCCAGTTTTTTCGATGGGTGGAACCAAAGAGAACATCAATAAGGGAACAGAGGACTTGAACAACACTATAGACCGACTGGACCTAACAGACATGTACAAATCACTCTACCCAACAACAGCAGAAAACACACACTTCTCAAGAACAAATAAAACATTTTCCATGAGAGACCACATGTTAGGACATAAAAGAAATCTTAACAATTTTAAGAAGACTGAGAGCATAATGAATTTTCTCAAACCACAAAGCAATAAAATTAGAAATAAACAGCAGAATGAAAACAGAAAAATCCCCAAAATGTGGAAATAAAACAACGTATTCATAAATAACCAATGGGTCAAAGAAGAAATCACGAAGGAATTTTTAATATATCTGGATGAACATGAAAACATACAAAAATTTATAAAATGTAGTGAAAGCCTTACTAACAGGGAAGTCAAATCAGAAATCTATTTTTACTACTCAAGGAAGTAGAGAAGAATAAAATCAAATTTAGCAAAACGAGGAGCTTCCCTCGTGGCGCAGTGGTTAAGAATCCGTCTGACAATGCAGGGGACAAGGGTTCGAGCCCTGGTCCGGGAAGATCCCACATGCTGCAGAGCAACTAAGTCCGTGCACCACAACTACTGAACCTGTGCTCTACAGCCCGCGAGCCACAACTTCTGAGCCCACGTGCCACAACTACTGAAGCCCATGTGCCTAGAGCCCATGCTCCCTAACAAGAGAAGCTTCTCACCTCAGTGAGAAGCCCGTACACTGCAATGAAGAGTAGCCCCAGCTCACCGCAACTACAGAAAGCTCATACGCAGCAACAAAGACCCAATGCAGCCAAAAATAAATATATAAAATAAATTAAAAAAACAAACTATAAGGGGTTCAATGAACAATAATGCTTACAAATTGCATAATCTAGAAGATACAGGTAAATTCACTGAAACATACAACCTATTAAGCTCTAATCTTTAAGTAATAAAAAAGTTGAAAAGAATTATAACTAGAGAGGTTCAAGCAGCAATCTGAAATCTTGAACAAGGAAAAAGCCAAGACCATATCAGTTTGCCGCATAATTCTACCAAACATTTACAGAAGAATTACCTCTAATCCTGATAAAAAGCTTCCAAGCTTCCGAAGAGCTGTAGAGGGAACACTGGCAAACTCATTCTATGGAGCCTGCATGATTCTATACCAAGCCCAGAGAAAGACACACGAAACACAGAAAACTACAAACCAGTATCCTTCATGAATACTGAAAAATCCTCAACAAAATAGTACCAAACCAAATTCAACAACACATTAAAATGATTTTACATCATGACCAAGTGGATTTTATTACTATAAGCAAGGATGACTCAACATACAAAAATCAATTAATGTCATACACCACATTAACAGAATAAAGGAAAAAAACATATGATCGTCTCAATTGATGCAGAAAAATGCATTTCACAAAATTCAACTATGTTTCAAGATATAAAAACCCTGGGAATTCCCTGGCGGTCCAGTGCGTAGGACTCGGCACTTTCACTGCCGTGGCCCAGGTTCAGTCGCTGGTCAGGGAACTAAGATCCCACCACAAGGCCAAAAAGAAAAAAAGAGAGATATAAACACTCAGCTAGAAAGCTTTCCTTCTCAGATCAGGAAGAAGGCAAGGATACACACCCTCTGCACTACTGCCCAGTAAAGTACAGAAAGCCCTCACCAGAGAAATTAGACAAGAAAAAGAAAGTTACCCGAATTGAAAAAAGTAAAATTATCTTTCTTCATAGATGATAACTTTTATATATAAAAACAGTAAAGATTAAAAAAAACACAAAAAAAACCAGTAAAGATTCCACGAGGAAACTGCTACATCAAAAAACAACTCTAGAAAAGTTGCAGGATACCAAAAGTCAATGCCCAAAAACCATGTGCATTTCTATACACAGTGAACAATGTCAATAGAAAATTAGAAAACAATCGTATTTCTAGAGCATCAAAGGGATAGAATACTTAGTAAGAAATTCACCAGGGAGGCAAAAGACTTGTACACTGAAAACTATTAAATGTTGCTAAAAGACACACAAGGAGATACAAATAAACATCCTATACACATGGATTGAAAGACTAAATATTCTTAAAATGACCCTATTACCCAAAGTGTTGTATAGATTCAATGTAATCCCGATCAAAAGTCCCATGGCAATTTTTGCAGAAATAGAAGTAACTATGCTAAAATTCATAGGGAATCTCCCAAATCTCCAAAATACTCTTGACAAAGAAGAAAAATAGAGGGCACCCTTTATAGACTTCAAAACATATCACGAGGGCTTCCCAGGTGGCACAGTGGTTAAGAATCCACCTGCCAATGCAGGCGACACCGGTTCAAGCCCTGGTCCGGGAAGATTCCCACATGCCGCGGAGCAACTAAGCCCGTGTGCCACAACTACTGAAGCACATGCACCTAGAGCCCGTGCTCTGCCACAGGAGAGGCCACCACAGTGAGAAGCCCGCGCACCGCAAAGAAGAGCGGCCCCCGCTCGCCGCAACTAGAGAAAGCCCGCGCTTAGCAACGAAGACCCAACGCAGCCAAAAATAAATAAATAAAATGAATAAATTTATGGAAGAAAAAAAAAACAACAAAAAAAAACCATATCACGAAATAATCAAGATGGTGTGGTACTGGCATAAACACAGATACGTAAAGTAATGCAACAGAACAGAACACTCAAAATTAATTTTGCATATACATAGAACGCATTTTCAAGGGTGCCAAGACCACACAATAGAAAAAGGACAGTCTCAGGAACAAACGGTGCTGGGAAACCCGGTATCTACCAGCAAAGTCTAAAGCTGGAAACTTACCTGCATCAGAATGAGAAACTTCTATGTGTCAGAGGAGGCAACCAACAGCGAAAAGTAACCTCCAAGGACCGGAGATGATGAAAATGGGCTAAGAATCTCCATGTGTCAGAGATTTAGGTTGATTTCAAAGTTTAAAATCAATAATAGAATGAAACACCCTCTATCACTGATGTATCTCTGAACTTTCCATTCCATTCCCCATCATTACGATTTTTAAATCAGTGACACATCCATTTCGCTTCTAATGCAGCATGAAAAGTCACAACGTATTTGCTGTAGTCTGTTTGCTAAAATTTACCGGGCATAAGTGCATATTATTACCTGACTTGCATGTACAGCTTCTTTATCCTGGTTTTCAGAGAGCAGACAGTGCACTGAGATGGGGCCCCTCAACAATCCCTGCTGCCCAGTAGCACTGACACCGTGACACTTCACATGGGTGTGAAGCCCTGCCCAGGACTAGGCCCAGTGGAGCCTCTTCACAAGTCCCAGGTCACTGGGTCATGGGGAGACGGGATCTAAGTGGAGATGACAGGCCTTGAGGGAAGGCCCTGGATGACTGTGAATGTACAGGTGGCAGACAAGATTAGCGAGTCCAAAGAAGGGCATCTCAGGAAGGACAGACTGAAGAATCAACAGAGAAAATGACTTTACCTGAGAAAGAGCCATTTCTGACTCCTTTTCTTTCCTCTTCCAGGCTTCTTCCTCAGGCAATAGGAGTCTTTAGAGGTCGATCTTGAAAGTTGGAAAGATGCTGTTTAATGCTTAGAATCGACACACCCCCTTCCTGACTCACAACCACACACACAGGGAAGACCTCAGCATGAGGAACAGACAGTCCTCTGCTGCCCACTGTCACAGGAGGGATTCAGGACAGTAAACTCCCACACAGAGAACAACAAGTAAGTTCCTATACTTATTTTTTTTCAGTGCATGATAGATCTTTGAAGATCAAATAGTGTAGGTTATCCTTTTTTTATTGAATATATTTTTCAGATTATTTTCCATTATAGGTTATTATAAAATATTGAATATAGTTCCCTGTGCTATACAATAGGTCACTGTTGCTTTAATTATTCTATATATAGTAGTGTGTATCTCTTTATCCCAAACTCGCAATTTATCTCTCCCCCTCCTTCCACCTTTGGGAACCATAAGTTTGTTTTCAATGTCTGTTGAGTCTAGTTCTGCTTTGTAAATACGTTCATTTGTACCATTTTTTTTAAGCTTTCCCCATATAAGTGATATCATGTGTCTATTTGTCTGATTTAATTCACTTAGTATGATAATCTCTAGGACTCTACCTGCACTACTATGTGTTTCCGTTTCATTCTGTTTATCTGTCTCCCTACTTCTTTCTACGTCTCTGCCTCTTTGCTCCCCTCTACTCTCCTGCTGTTTCTGCCCTCCTCTCTATTTATTTTCTCACTCCTGTCTTGCCCCACTCTGCAACCTGTTCCCCCTATTGATGATCTTTCTCCCTAGCCTTTCGGATGACCTACATTTTTATGTACTTCTGCCTTTCTTCCCCCCATTTCTGTTCCCTCTCTGCCCTCTGTTTACACCCCTTCACTCCCTGTTACACTCTCTTCCTCCCCACTCTCTGGCACCCCAGGTGGCTATGCTTCCTTCCTGCTCTCTCTGCTCTAGTAGTCCATATTTTTCCTCTCCTTCTCTCCCAGCACCATGATGCTCTGAAGGCCATGGTTCCACCTTTTATCCTCTCCCGGACCCTCTGTCTGAAACGCCTCACCATTGTCACCACCCTCCCACCACTGATCCAGAGCCCCTCACCCCTTGCTGCTCTCCAATCCCTGGAGATCCGGCTTTTTTATTTACTTCTTTATTTTATTCACCTGCTACCTTCCATGCTTAATCACTTTCACTTTACTGTCTATTTCCAAGTCCCTCTATGTTCCCATTGGTTCTCCCTCATTCTTTATCCTCCTCAGGTTTTCTGTTTCTCTCAGTCGCTCTCTGTCTCTGCTTCTCCTGATCCCCCTCGCCCCTGTATTTACGAGGATGGCGACTGAATAAGACGCCCGCATACTGTTAGAGACAGTTTGGAACTCGGGACCGAAGAACACTATGTGTCACAAGGCTGGCCCAGGTCACCTCCCCCTACACGGGGTCTGAGGAAGGGTTGACCAGGAAGGGGAGGCCTACGGAGCAGAAAGACCGGTCTGAGTAAGAGGTGAGGACAGAGGGTCTAAGAGGTAAGGGGTCTCAGGAGAGGGGAGGACTCTCCAGGACCCCAGGACCGGGGAGAGGACGCGGCCTCTCCAGCAGCACTGCGGCCGGAGCTGCCCTACGGAGGCGGAGGGCGAGGCTGGGGAGCTCGAATCCACCTCACGGAAGAGGACTTTACAAGCAGGGCGGAGGTACTGAAGGGTTTTAAGCAGGAAAACGGAGCGAAAGGCGGTGTCTACGTGGACCGAAAGCAGAAAAGGCAAGGGCTTCGGTACTGGACGCAGAGAAATTTAAAACCCAAAGGGAAACGGTCCACGATCTGTAACAGTGATGGGAGGAGGGGCGGGAGTGGTAATTTAAACACCGCAGTGACTCCAGCACCCTAAGGATGGAGTAAAGGGACCGCGAAGCACAGATTTAAACTAGAAAAGAGAAACTTACGTTCTGCAGTGTGACCTTCGTTGTAAGCATTCCGTTTCCGGGTCCGTAGAGAAGTGCGCATGCGCGTGGTGAAGAGGTGGGGCGGGGCCTGGGTGGAGCGCTAAGGACCGGGTTGGGGGGGGGAGGTGAGGGGAACCCAGGTGCAAGCAGGGACCAAGGGAGGGTGGGAAGGGGGCGGGCCCGGAAGGTGCTTGGAAGGTGCTTGTACTTGACGGGCTTAAGTTGCAGTCTGTAACAATTTTAAGCTAAAGGTTACATTTGTGGGGACCAGTTATGTCGAAAACGAAGATGTTTTCTCTAAACAAGTAGAATGCTATTTTCCCTAGTAGGTTGCTCTCGTGTCCTGCTAATGAGCCCAAAGGTATTCATATTTCTGGAAATGTGGGTCTTCCAGAGTAGTTGACATGAGTCAGTGGTTGGATCCAGGAAGATTTTGTGCAATTAGAATTAATTTAAGAACTGAACTTGTGGGCTTCCCTGGTGGCGCAGTGGTTGAGAGTCCGCCTGTCTATTCAGGGGACACGGGTTCGTGCCCCGGTCTGAGAGGATCCCACATGCCGCGGAGCGGCTAGGCCCGTGAGCCATGGCTGCCGGGCCTGCGCGTCCGGAACCTGTGTTCCGCGGTGGGAGAGGCCATAACGGTGAGAGGCCCGCATACCGCAAAAAACAAAAAACAAAAAACTGAACTTGTCTCTGTATTACACACTAGAATGAGAAATATTCTAGTGTTGAATGGGCTATTTCATACTGACACCCTGCAGAACAGCTTCTCCGTTTCTACTCCCCTTTCACTCCAGAGGCCAAATTCAACAATTTGCTTAGTTCCAGAGACTCAGGGACAAGTCGTAGGGTCTGAGACTGGAGGACTAAGGCAAGTGATAATTTAGGTCAGTAACCGTTGCTTTAAAAAGAGCAAAACGTTTTCAAAAATTGTTGTAAATTGGGACTTCCCTGGTGGTCCAGTGGTTAAGATTCTGTACTCCCACTGCAGGGGGCACCGGTTGCATCCCTGGTCAGGGAACTAAGATTCCGCATGCCTCACAGCGCGGCCTGAATAAAAAAATAAATATGTTTAAAAATTGTTATAAATTGTATTGTTCTTTCTTTTTGCTAACGGGTTTTAATTATTTGCTGTTTTAGCCTAAGTTACGCGGGCCTCCCACTGCCGCGACCTCTCCCGTGGCGGAGCACAGGCCCCGAACGCGCAGGCCCATTGGCCATGGCTCACGGGCCCAGACGCTCTGCGGCATGTGGGATCCTCCCGGACCAGGGCACGAACCTGCGTCCCCTGCATCGGCAGGCGGACTCTGAACCGCTGTGCCAACAGGGAAGCCCTCGCCTAAGTATTTTTATTTATTTACTTTTGGGCCGCAGCACGGGGCATGTGGGATCTTAGCTCCGCACCACCTACAGTGAGAGTGCAGGGTCTTAACCACTGGACCGCCAGGAAGTCCCATTTACCGTTTTGTATGTGTGTTTGTCACTGTGTGTTTTGGGGTGTCTATGGCCTTATTATGATTTTAGGCAGCCTCTCTGCTAATGGATGGGGCTGTGTTCCTGTCTTGCTAGTTGTTTGGCATAGGGTGTCCAGCACTGTAGGTTGCTGGTTGTTGAGTGGAGCTGGGTCTTGGCATTGAGATGGAGATCTCTGGGAGATTTTCACTGTTTGATATTACGTGGAGCTGGGAGGTCTCTTGTGGACCAGTGTCCTGAAGTTGGCTCTCCCACCTCAGAGGCATAGCACTGACTTCTGGCTGGGGCACCAAAAGCCTTCCATCCACACTTTTGGGAGGTCTGAGGTCTTCTGCCGGCGTTCAGTAGGTGTTCTATAGGAGCAGTTCCACCTGTAGATGTATTTCTGATGTATCTGTGGGGAGGAAGGTGATCTCTGTGTCTTACTCTTCCGCCATCTTGAAGCTGCTCTCTCTGTGTGTTTTAATATTTACTTTTTATTTGGCTGCGCGGGGTCTTCGTTGAGGCATGCGGGATCTAGATCCCTGACCAGTGATGGAACCCGGGCCCCCTGCATTGGGATTGCTGAGTGTTAACCACTGGACCACCAGGGAAGTCCCCTATTTGCCGTTTTGAAACCAACTGTTTACACAGCGACATATAAGAATTGTATAAACAACTCTTTATACAATTACATACATCAGTATATAAGTTTAAGGTGTACAGCAATAGTCTGACTTCCCTATATTGTGAAATGATTACCACAATATGTTTAATTAGCATTAGCATCCATCATTTCACATAGATAAAATAAAAAGAGAAAGGAAAATAAAAGAAAAAAATTTTTCTTTTGATGAGAATTGCCTTTTTTTTGATTCTTCTACACATATAATCATATATTTCTCATTTGTTATTGTCTTTGGCTTTCAGCCATAAGAATTGCCTTATTTTGTAAAATACTTATCGTATTCCATGTTTGTGCTGAATTACCTTAAAATATCTTTGAGAAAAACTTGTTTACATCCTAATATACTTAAGTCAACAATAACTAAATATAATGCAATTTCAAATTCACAATATGTTCATTATGAGAATAAGTAGAAATTTACCTTTTATTTTTAAACTGTAATGTATTTTAGCTGTTTGTGTTCTATTGCTGAAAGTTCTGTTAGGTGTGGATAATAGACCCTGTAAAATATATAGTATTCAGAAGACATTGGGATTTATTCTCATCTAAGGAATAATTAACTTTGCCATGTTTCTAAGGACATTTACTGGGGAGGTATATTCTCTTTAATATGAACCCTAAAGAAGGTAAATCTAGATTATCGACTATGCAATAACTTCATTTCTGCCCTCAATATTTCTATGGCAATATCTGTCATTAAACATTTATTGCAGTATGTTTTCCCACATCCCTGCAGGTGGAAGATTTCATCCATAGAGAAACAGCAATCAATTGTAATATGATGTTTACATAGGACTATTAGCATATTTAAAATATTTTCAGACAAAATGAGCAGAATGTCCTGGTGTAACACAACATGCAAACAACATCACATTTTTATTTTATTTATTTTTGGCTGGGCCGGGTCTTAGTTGCAGCACGTGGAATCCATTTCCCTGACCAGGTATCGAACCCAGGCCCCCTGCATTGGGAGTACGGAGTCTTAGCCACTGGACCACCAGGGAAGTCCCCAACATCCCATTTTTAAAATTTGCAGCGACTGGAATAAATTTTGGGATGTGCGTTAGATAGATTATTATGCAATGTTTGAAACTATCCGTGTTGGCGGGTGGCAGCACCGGGGACGCCCTTGGGAAGACACTGGTCTCGATCTCTCAAGCAATAACTTCTCATCCAGCCACCCCCCACCCCTCCCCGGGCTCCCCACAGGGCCCAGCAGGGTCATCACAGTGGCCTCGAGCAGGAGCCCCCGGTGCCTTATAGCCCAGCTACGATGGGGGTCTCCATGGCGCACAGAGCAAGATGGTGGACCACCGGGACGAGGCCATCCATGTCCTCTGCGGCCTCGCCGTGGGCAGAGCAGGGGACGTGCACGGGCTGTTGCCGGGTCACTGGGCGCTGGCCTCGGGCTTTGCTGGCCCCGTCAAGCCAATGGGCCGGCGGCACGCCAGCCTGGTGGGAGGCGGGCACTCCACCTAAAACTGCATCTCAGCCCTGCTGGCCAGGCCTGGGCCGAAAGGAGCCTTTTTTGTTTGTTTTCAGTAACAAAACTGTAAAGAAAGCATGCAGGAAATACATACACTTTGTCAGACAAGAGAAAAAGATGCCTTAAGTATAAAACGTGAAGAGTCAAACATACTGCTCATGGCAGGGAGATGCTGTGCAGAGCCAGCTTGGTTGGCAGCCACCAGCAACTTGTGCCTAAGCCTGATAGTTTTTTTTTTTTAAGGAAAATAAAAGGGACGGTAGTTATGAGTGTTTTTTTTTAAATAATGTGGAAGAAAATTATTAAGAATGGTGACTTTGTTCTCTTTTTTTTTTTTT